CAAACTATGCTTGTTTCTTATTAAAATGAAGAAAAAAATAGCAAATTATATATATATATATATATATATATGCTACAGTCAAAACAGGTTTCTGAAATAAAGTTACCAATAAATACCTAAAAAAGATAAATTTCTGCAGCTTCTTGAAGGAAATTGAGACACAGAGCAGTCTTATTCGTGAATTATTCTGGCAAGAACAAAATAGACACTGTTTTGCCATAACAAGGATTTTTTTTTAAAGTAGCAATACACGAAGAATGTTCGCATACACTAACTTACTGATGACCTTCACAGCGGTACACTGAGATAGGAGGAACAGAAAAGCAACTGTTAACTTTCATTTTCACATCCAGAAAACATCTACAAGGTTTGGAGAGTTGCCCCCGAACCACAACGGTACTAATGTTGTCTACAAATAGCCGTTTCTTCACTTTAGCTCTTTTCCAGTCTTCTCTATTGCACAGACCCATGTCCTTTCCCAGGACACCTACTGGCAAATCACCGTCAGTCAGGAAGAGGGGGATGCTGCAAAGCAGCTGAGGCTGTCCTGGAAAGGAAGCAAAAGCAGAGGGGAGACAAAGACAGCCCAACTCCCTGGCTGGCCTTGTGTAAATGACTGTGTCTAAGAGGACACTACCCACAAAAAGTCGAGGTCGGATTAAGGAGGCTCAGGTGAGTTTTCCAGGGTACTACTTTGCTGCCCAGCGCCCCTAAGACCTACCACCACCTATAATTTAAGCCTCCGCCCACCACTGCCCGGGGTCTGGGAGCTCGGTTCCTCTCCCAGCCAGGAGGAAGGACCTGTTTGCTTCAGACTACAAGACTCACCTGCCGGGTCATTAGAGATTTGATTTTTTGCATGTCGAGGTCGAGAGACGATTACCCTGGCGCTGAGAACTAACAAATCACACAAGACCACCAGACACCCGGCTACAACACAGGGAAGCCATAGTGAGTAGTCACGTGGAGCTGCCCGCCTGGGTCAGCCTTCCTTTCGCTGAGCATGCTGGGAAGTGTAGTCTTCCGGCTGCAGTCGTAGAAGAAGGCCGGCCTGGGTACTACATTTCCCAAGAAGCAACTCTTTAGCCAACAGCAAATCTCGTTGGTCCGAGTGACCACCTGCGCTTGGAACCGGCTTAGACGAGGCTGGAGCTTAAGACTTAGGCGTTCTGGCCAGTCAGCTAAACAAACTCTGAGGAGACTGACAAGACGCCCTCCAGGAGTGCTAGAGAAGGCACTGGGCTGGGGGTGGGAGGGGTAACGAGACCGTGTCTAGAACGTGGAATTTCCCAGTGGCTCTGGGTGTGGCCTGGGGCAAGCGGGGAGGCAGGTACCTAAGATGCTGATGGCCAGCCGTAGGTTCGTCTTCATTCTTGGCATTCCCTGTAAAGAGCTCTAATAAAATCAACTATCATTTTCCTACCTGCTTAAGCAAAGACAAGTCAAGACAGCTGTCAGTCATTCTGAGAGCACGTGTCACTTTAAAGTCATCTCTCGTTAGTGGTTACAAAGGAGAAAGTAATAGGGGAGCTTAGGAGACTCAATTTTATAAGGATTTCAAATCATGAGACTATGGGAGGGGCAGCAAACTCAGAGCTAATAATTTTCAGGTAACACTGAAAAATTTACAAATTGGAAGGGACTCTGTCAATGGCTTCATGTGTATGACCTCATGTATCTGCATGAGAACCTTTTTCTCCTCTTTTTCAATTACAAATTTTTTTCCATACAATATTTTCTGATCAGGTTTTGCCGCCCTCAACTCATCCTAGATTGGTCCCGCCTCCCCACCCACCAACTCCAATCTCTCTCTCTCTCTCTCTCTCTCTCTCTCTCTCTCTCTCTCTCTCTCTCTCTCTCAAAAAATGCAAATAAACAAACAAAAATAATAAAAATAAAAAGAAAGAAACACACACCCAAGCCCATATGCACGAGCACCTTATGGAGTTACTATTATTTCCGTGTTAAAAATGAAGGGTGTGGGGAAACTAAGGAACTTGTCTAAGATTATTGCAGATTGTAAACTGATTATTCAGATGCTTAAAGGTTTCCTGTATTGTGCTGAGGAATGATTCCTAAATCATGACACCAGTGCCTTTTATCAGTTTAACGTTTATTAGAAAAATAGGCCCTCTGGGAGGCTTGGTGGCTACCACAGGAATCTGCGTATGCAGTTGCCTCCTCTAGGGGTCGGCTCTTCCTGCAGACTGTACAACTCCTCAGAAGCAAATGTAATTACAGTATTAATTATAATAATGAATGCCTCCCCCCCTCCAGTTCATCTTATACACAACCGTTCCTGTCATCTTAAGGATGTCACCAACTCTCCTCTGTTGCTTTTTCTATTCCATTAAGGGATCTGTATTAAAGAATATAGCTGCTTGAAATGCATGTAGTAGATGTCCATTGTGTAAAACAAAACCAGCCTAATCATTTAAATGAACTAGACAGTAAAGGATGTGTGACTGGAGAGGTCAGAAAGCAGTCGTGCTCTAATCTCTCTCTCTCTCTCTCTCTCTCTCTCTCTCTCTCTCTCTCTCTCTCTCTCTCTCTCTCTCTCTCTCTCTCTCCTTCCCTCCCTTCCCCCCCATGCATTCCCAGTGACTCCTTGCATTCCTGGGAATGCAATCATCATGGACAGAGATTGTTGTAGGTTAATCATTTTTAATGCAACTATAACTATGACCAGTAAACAGTGAGGATATAGCCCCCTCTTTTTTAAACCAAAACAGTTGATTGATTATGAACTTGCTATAAAATACTGCGTTGAGACAATCCCATCCCACCCCTGTCCCCAGCCCCAGACAGGATCTCACTGTATAGCCCAGGCTGTCCTCAAACTCACAGAGATCTACCGGCCTCTGCCTTGAGTGATGCCATGTGTCTGCGAGAATTTTTCTTATACTGACAAAACACTTTGGAACTATTTTTAAGAATTCTGTCAGTTTGGCAGCACTTGAAGTTAAATTTGCTTGCGTGAATTCAATGTAAATTTCCTGAATTCACAAATTATTCTCGTAAGCCGTTATATTTACAACCTACCACTAGAGGGCGCTTGGTCAAGGTATACAGTCTGTACAAAACCCAAGTACTGCAAATTTTTTAATGTATGTAATGACAGGAAAAACAGCACAAGAATGGTTCATTCAGGTATTTAAATTCTTATTATAACACCTATTATCTTCTGTCACAAAATGTATATTTTAAGGTAAAATGAGGAAAATACTGGAATTTTTACAAATCCCTTAAATGCTGTACATTTGACACTAGGAAAAACCCACTCTACTGTCTTTGTTTCTCACATTTTGGCAAGGATCCTGGAGCCCTCATAACAAATGATCCTTTGGTTTAAGGACACTATAAAAATTTTATTTAATAGGAGCAGCTTCTGTTAAGACTGATCTAAGTGGAGTGAGGGAGCTTGTGTGGTATCTAAGTCCAATGTTTCTTTCCAATGGGTCGTTTAATATGAAAACTAGTGTGCATTTCTTCTTTTTTTTTTCTTTCTGGAGCTGAGGACCGAACCCAGGGCCTTGTTCTTGCTAGGCAAGCGCTCTACCACTGAGCTAAATCCCCAACCCCTAGTGTGAATTTCTTAAAGGAGCAACTAAGAAGAAGACAGCTTAGGCTAAAGAATGCAAGGAGTTTATTTCTGGGGAAACATGTTAAGGAAAATGAGCACTATGCTTAGGTGCCAACTGTCCATGACTGAGACGTTCACTGTAGTCAAGGACCTGAGAAGTATACATCTAAGCAAATGAACTGAAGCGAATATGGTTAACGCTGCAATAAATGAGTGTGCAAGATTCAGAGTGCAGAGAAACTTGTCATTGCTTGGTGCTGAGGATATTCTTGACATACTTCTGAGGAATGGAGCATTGTAAAATGACTGACTTGTATAAAGGAGTTGGGTTTCCCAACAGTAGTGCCTTTGCCTTTAGACACTTTCTTCACAAGTTGGGAACTTTGATATAAAGAGTATTTCTAAAGTTGGTGCCCAGAATAGCCACTGTCCCTTTTTTATTTTTAATATTTGAACAACAGTCTTCCTTTAAGCAGTTAGAATGAAAGTCTATGCCTTCCTTCTTCCTCTTGTCACTGAATTCCTTCAGCGGAACTTCACTGTTGAAAACAACTTGTGCTGAAATTCTACTTGCTTTTTAAGTAAGTTTTTTTTTTTAACATATGTTCCATTTCACACAGAAAGCTTGGGCCTTCTTAATGATAGCTCACTTGTAACTTACCAAATTAAGCAGCAATTCTCAGACCATCTACTTCCATGATAATGAAAGGAATTAGGATGGGAAGATGTAGGCAGAACACACAGGTAAAGATTTTATGAATTGCTGGTTCACTTCTTCTAAGATTCAACTGAGAAAATTTGGCCTCAGGTATTATCTGTTGGCATATGCTATACATTATAATAATACACAATGCATGCCTCGTCCCTACTTAGAAACATACCTGTGATTTGTTTTTAAATCTATGAATCTGTAGATTCAATAAAACTATCACAGCCATTTGCAATAGAGTATATAACAAAGAAAAAATACATTTAAAAAATACTCTAATTATCTGCTTTGGTTCTTTGGTACAGTCCTTACATGATAATCAGTAACTTGATGAAGATGAATAGCTACATGGCAAATTCATAAAGTACTTCAATTTTCAATAGAAAGTAATTTTTCAAATTTCAAAGCAATGACATAATTTTTCATGACATGAAACCATATTTGGGATTTATATATCATGAGGTCACCCAAAGAGAGTGTCTTCCTCCTCCTGATTATGAATAACTCAGTATAATTTTTAAAGCTATACTGAAAAATTACTGAGAATCACTAAGAAACTATTCCGAAAGCCACAGCCCTGTGTTCTTGCAAAGCATATAACAGGTGTTCCTACTCCCTGTGTCCTTTGTATACACATTCATTCTGTATTCAAATCACAGAAGCAAGAGGCAGGATAGGGTCTGTTACCTCACTGCTAATTTCCCTAGCAAATAAACCAGCAGCTGCTGGTCCATGAACCTACTTGCCACTGAGAACAGGGCGCCGTATGCATGGGGCAGGATGTTCTCATGGAGCCCCTCAGCAGCATGGTTGGGATCTTTCTTTGCAAAATATACTTTCTTCTTATAGGTAAGGCCCTGCATGAACTGGCTTTTAAGTATTTGGGGTTTGGGTTATGGGGTTTTGTTGGTTTTCTTTGTGGCTTATTTTTTGTAGGCATAAGGCAAATATTTGCTTTGGGCTGTAGATTTTCTCAGATAATTGAAGAACAGTTCAGAACCTTTTAACAATAACACACTGTTCCAGCAAAGAAAGAGGAACATGTAAGAGAAATGAGGTTCAAGAAATGATTGCTTTTGTTTCCTTGGAGCAACAGCTATTGTCAATGGGACTCGCTAAGAAAGTTAAGGCAGTATAAAAAGCTAGGGGGGTTCTTCTTTTGCCGGGGCTTACAGATAGGCTCAGTGATCTTTAATTGTGAATTTTTAATTGAAAAATGTTCTAATAGTGTATTAAATTAAAAACACACAATGAAATTCATAGCAATTCATAGTGGTGTTTTTCTTTTAATTAAAGGTATTGCTTAAATTAAAGATCACACCCAAACTGTTCTTCTTTCATATAAATGTGGGAAAATGTGAAGTTCTGGCTAAACTGACAAAACAGAAATATGTTTAAGAGGCTCAGTGCTCCAAAATGACTTTTAGCTTTTCTCTTTGTCAATGACTAGCTCTATTTTTTTGCTGTATCTTAATATTTTTCTCTCATTCTTTTTTATCATAATTTGAACTCTCTATATCATTCTGTGCTTTTATTCATCAATATTCTTTTCAACAAATGTCCCATTTTTCATCTTCGCTATTATAGATCTAAAAGGTTAAGTTAGTTTCTTGTTTTGTTTACATTGGTCTGATACAACTCTAAGGGGGGCTTTATTCTTTAAAGAATAACATAGATACATAAAGCAATTTGAGCTTTGAACTTTTGGGGTATTTAAAGCCTTACTGTCACTATTTGTTAGATTTCATTATTAACATGACTATTATTCACATTTGTATATAATGTATATAAATATCACTGACATAAAACTACCTGACATAAATTTTTAAGGTGCCTGTTCCCCAAAACTGTGGTCATCTCAATTGCTATATGGTCATATTATCAAATTTAAACATGCAATATGTTCTACATTTTAAAATGGTTATAAAAACATCTGCTACCATAATTTCAACATCATCCTTTCCTAATAAGTGATCCTACATTGGTTTCTCATTTGCTTTTCATTTTCAAATAGTGGGACTCTAGCTTTTCACAAATAATGATTTTGTAATTGGCCTTAAGAAGAACTCAGGAACCAATTCAATTGAAAAATTTGACTAAAATAAAATTAAAATACAGTTGGGAGAAATCACAAATTGAAAAATAAAGATGTTATTATTGACCACGATTCCCCTCTTTATGTAAATTCACTTTCTCTGAAGGCAGCAAGTGGTAAAGGAAATGAGGAATATGCAAATCCTTTTAATTTTAAAGTACTGAATTTTCTTTGTATTTTTAAAAGATTTTAAAAGTAAGCTCCAAATGTATGAATAGTCTCTCTCTTCAAAATACAGATTTCTAATTTCTATTTTTTTTCTAAAGATGCATGAGTTTGTTTTCAGTCAACAACAGTTGTGTTATGTTTGCTAATACTGTGTGTGGTAATGGGGAAATAAATACCAACTATTCAGAGCTGCTGTAGAGGTCACTTTGTAAAACCTAATGTTTGTATTCAATACAGTAAAACTGCTCACAGAAGCCCTCTGTTGTTGGAACATGGATAATTCTTACAGTGTACTTTCAAGTATTCCTAACTTTATATATTTTTGAAGGTGCTGTTACTATATATCTTAAGAAGTCTCTAAAGTGAGGTTATTGCTGTAATTTTGAATGCCAGGTTATGAGTGGTATTTCCAATGTTTTCCCCAGTTGCTATTAGTGCCTAAAAGGCAGAAGGTCTTAACAGCTCTCTTAAGCTCAGGACGTATTTGTCAACCTAATAAAAACGAAAATTTTCATTTATGTGCAAACGTTTGGAATACCAATTGAAAATTAAAATTCCATTAATATTGCTTTCTTGAAGTTTATCTGCTCACACAGACAGAGGCTGAGGAAAGCTTTAGTCCTTTATGTTTTCTCATGCAACTAGAAAAGAGCAATTAAAATTTTCTCAAGGTGAACCTCATTTTTTTTAAATTAGTAAACCACTGTGTTTGAAGACGTGGGTTTGTTACATTTATAGCAAGAAACATCAATAGAAAGAATATGTGCTTCTAAAACCACAGAGAACAATGTTACCTGTTTAGTCTCAGAATCTCCCAGTGACTGTGTCATATCAGTGGATTCATGCCTTTCCTGATAGGGAGATTATAGGTGCTGATAAAAGGAAACTCATTCCTTGCTGACACTCGGTACCTATAAATTGTCCTGTAAAAATAATATAGGAATTGGGCATGGTGGCACCTACTTTTAATCCCGGTACTTGGAAGGCATAGGCAAGAAGCATATCTCTGATTTTTATGTCAGCCTGACCTACATACTAGCCAAGATCTCACAGTAAGATCCTGTTGCTAATAATAAAATAATAATAATAATAATGTAAGCAATCTCTAAGCAAACTACTATTGTAAAAGCTGTATCACCTCTCACTATACTGTACATATTTTAAAATAACCACATATATTTGGTAAGGAATTTTCATTTTATATGAAAGCACTGAATATATTCAGAAATACAGTTGGCAATATATTATTGAAGACTTGAATATATGGTTCATTCTCTTAAATAGCCCAGTGAACTAGTTTTCCGCATTTATATGGTGAGTGAAAATGCCACATGAATTTGTTACTTTCACCTGTTGTGATGATGCACACCTCTAGCCCCTGCACTCAGGAGGCTGAGGAAGGAGACCCCTGAGTTCCAGGCCAGCATTTTAGTGAGGTACATTTAACAGCCTCTGTCTCAAAACAATTTTATTGTTTGTTTGTTTGTTTGTTTGTTTGTTTGTTTTGGAAGGGCTGAGGGTTGTGTTTTAGACAGGGTCTCACTGTGTAGCCCTGGCTGGCTTTGAACTTATTATGTAGATCAGACTGTACTCCACCTCCCAGAAATCCACCTGTCTCTTCCTCCCACGTGCTGGAATTAAAGTCATGTGTCACCATTCAGGATCTACTGAAGTAGCTTTATTTGTCTCCAGACTGCAGTATCTGCATTATATTTACTGTCTTGTGAAATATAAGTCTCTCCTTATAACTTATTCAGAATCTCTAAATCATCCTGCTCATAGTTGAGAGCCAACATTCGAGATTCAAAAGTTAGTAACATTTCTATTCTAGTGATAATGTCACCACATAGTAATGCAGTGCCTAGCAACCACTCCCAGCATATTAATGTAATCTCAACTAGTCTTTTCCAACTATAATTACATACACTAAATTATAGAAAAATGGAAAAGCAAGAACCTCTCCCAAATGAGAAAAATGGAGCGGCTGAAATGGCATTCAAGATTCATATATCCATCCCCACCTCAGTCTAGCAGGGATTCCTAGGCTGAGCTGGGAAATGTCTTAAACGCACCAGTAAGCCAGTGACAAAGCTGCTCTGTGCCAGAGGCAATCACCTCACTTATGTCAGCAGCCACGCAGCTCTTCTCAGTGCGTTCTCAAGGCGATGATGTGATTCCCACCATAGCCCCTTGATTGCTTGGTAACAAACACGGAATTGCCAATTTGTTAGAGGACATCCAGGAATTGACAACTTAATACGTGGACTAAATGCTGTGACTCGCTATTTCAAAATCCTTTGAACCTTTCCTCTTGAAATGTAAGTAGTGGCTACTCTGAGAAAAATACGTCAGGATATCGAGCACCTGAACAATTAGAGAGCAGAGAGAGGGTACAGGCATCGCCCAGTATTTCTCTTCGCACACAAGACAATGAGCAAAGACTTAAAACGGCTTGCTTACCAAGGCCATGTTTGCTGGCTAAGCACTATTTTAAGATTAAATATGTGTCCTTTGCTGCAACTTCACATTTCCAACTTTAGCAAAATATCCAATAAAACATCCCCTCCGCAAGTTTAGAAAATGTACATGTTCCTGAGCAGCTTTACTTCAGGGCCACGTGCAAGTGAGCAATCTAAGAATTACTGGAGAACACAGTTCCGAGGGAGTCGAAGGTCAGACACGAACCCTGACACATGGCTGGTAGATGTTTTCATACACAGTCAAGTTTAAAAAAAAAAAAAAAAGACAGCAGCCCAACAGGCACAGTGCAAGTTATGCTTGGCATTCCTAAAGATAGAAATAATGAGCTAACAACTAGTTTTTATTTATTGCTTATCAAGAAACTCTGTGTCCCTATTTTCAACTAAAGGCACAGAGGTGCATTTTTATTTGTCCAGCAAACACACATCCGAGGCGGGACCTGCTCCTGTCCCAGCTCCCATCCCAAAGCCCAGTGTCTTTTTTTATTTTTTCATTTTTCTTTATTAAGAAATTTTCTACTCACTCCACATACTATCCACAAATCCCCCCTCTTCCCTCCTCCCACCCCCCAGCCCTCTTTCCCAAGCCACCCCGCAACCCCACATCCCCCAAATCAAGGTCTCCCATGGGGAGTCAGCAGAGCCCAGCACACTGAGCCTAGGCAGGTCCAAGCCCCTTCCCACTGCACCAAGACTGTGCAAGGTGTCATACCACAGGCACGGGATTCCAGAAGCCTGCCCATGCACCAGGGACAGATCCCGATCCCCCTGCCTTGGTGCCCCCCAAACAGCTTGAGCCAAACAACCATCTTCCGACGTCAAGATCATGATGGGAGGACATGCAGAGATGACCGGCCACACTAGTGGAAGCCCATGAACTGTGGACTGGTGGCTGTGGGGCCCCATGGGACAGGACCAGTGTCTTTCTAAGTGTCCGGCTGTTCGAACTTCTCCCATCTCAGCCTCTGCTTCACACATCTTTGACACCACTAGTTTAAGACACTGGCTTACTCACCCATCTTCCTTTTTCCTCCTACAACTTCCTTGAAGAATCCACTACTCCTTTGCTTCAAGCAACTCTACTCTTTAGATATTCTAGCACCCTATTCACTCTTTTTTAATCTCTCAAGTTGGGAGAACTCCGAATTTAACAATCTTGTACTCTTCCGTGCAGAAACAAATCGTGCACCTTGTAATACCTTTGACGTGGATGGACTAAAGTGAATGAGCAGTGTGTTTTTATCCTAAGTCCATGTAGAGGCCTGGGAGCTTGACTGCACTGCGTGTCTAGCTCTCCACTCTGGGAAGGGAAGAGAGCACTCACTGTGGGTGGAACTTGATTCCTCACAGAATGGCATCAACATGCATGAACTTCTCCATGGAAATCACCACAAAAGACAAACAGACCTTTGTACCATTTCCTTCTTTGTTCCAATTGCCTTCCATAAGTTGATTTAGATGAGCTTTCCTGGAAACAGTGAAAATGGAAGGCAGTTGAAGAGGATGATCATTTTATGTGTGTAACAAAACCGAAATGGAAAACCTTTGGCCCTAACTCCCACCTCCTCTCACCTGCTCAGTTTCAGTCTACAGCCCAGCCTACACCCCATTTCTCTCACCCCCTTTACAACAAAGTTACTCAAAGCATCTACGCTTACTGTTTCAACCTTCTGCAACAATATTTTTAAAAAATTGTTTTGACCTCTCTCTCTCTCTCTCTCTCTCTCTCTCTCTCTCTCTCTCTCTCTCTCTCTCTCTCTCTCTCTGTGTGTGTGTGTGTGTGTGTGTGTGTGTGTGTGTGCATACACATGCTACAGTGTGAGAGTGGGTCAGTGGACAACATGAAGCAGAGAGTTAGCTCTCTTTTTCCACCTTCTGAGTCTTGGGGATTGAACTCAGGTTATCAGGCTTTGATGACAGGTACCATTACTCACTAGTCCACCTCACTGGCCTTGTGCCATTGTTTTTTTCTTTTGGTGTTCAAAATAGCCTACATTTAAATCACACACACAACCCTATTATTACAAATGTTCCTCTGATGGTGATTTCATACCAATACCACACACATATAAAATGAAGCAAAGAGTTTTCAATTAGAGTTCTAAAAATATAGTATCCTGAAAGGACTTTTTTCATTGCTAATGGTCCATTTGCAGTGTGTGTGTGTGTGTGTGTGTGCCTGCGTGTGTGTGTGTGTGTGTGTGTGTGTGTGTGTGTGTATGCCATTTGCAATGTATATATGTGTGTGTATGTATATATGATATATATTGGAACATCTACAGGTTCCAGAAGTTAAGAAGCAATATGCAAATATAAGACAAAGGCATATCAGTGAGTTCATGGACCCAAACAACACAAGTACGGCATAAGACTGTACATGGGAAAAACTCCATGCCTCACATCACTTCAGGCCTCTAATTCTCTCCTAAACTACCTTTAATGAGTTTAATAATGAAAACATAATCACTATATTCATTCAGCATTGCCTTTTAGATGTCTAGTGAGCATCTAAAAATGAGTATGCCCTAAACTGACTTCTGATTTCCCCATCCCACTCCCAAAACTAGTAGTTCTCTTTCTCGGTCCAATGATGTATCTACTGCTTGCATCTCCATTCTCCCAGATGACTCAAGAGCATGAAGACATTCCTTACTCCTCCTTGTGTTATAGATCCCACCCTGCAGTTCAGTAGCTGATCTTTTAGGTAGAGACAGCCATTTCTCGTGTTGCTCAGCACACCATGGCTCGGTACACCCTCATCTCTTGCCTGCCTTGGTAAGTCACTTCCTGAGATACCTTGGTGTTCCTGCTTTTCTCTTTGTTCAGTCCATTCTCATCCCAGCTAGTGGGAAACAAATAAATCATTAGAAAAGTCATGCCCCTCTTCTGATAGCAAAACTCCAGTTACATTTTCATTTCATATAAAGTGAAATTTCCCAGACTCTTGCATTCTTAAAATCCTTCCCCATTTGTCCTGGTTACCACTGACCTCCTATCTCTCTGAGCTCCTCCCCCACTCTGTTAAATCCAAGCCTGCCCCTTGTTGTTCCTCAAACACCAATCAGAGTCCTCTATGGGCAAAGAATGACTGGTTTTAACTGAATGTAGTTTATCATGCTGTTTACTAGGTGACTCAGATTTGGTGTGGCTTTGACTAAAAGCAGGGAGGGACTTCCAAAAATGGAGTATTAAGCTAATTCAGAAGGTTTTGCAGAAATTTCTTGCAGGGAAGTAATCCCTTAATATTTCAGAAATTGCATAATTTCATCAGAATATGACAGTGACATGGTCTATTTTCAAATGTGTTTAATGGTTTTATTGAACTTTAGAGCTCATAATCTTTCTCGGTTCTCCTTTCTCTATTATTCTGTAATGATAGGAGATAATAGCTTCTGCTTCTCCTTTTTGCCTTGTTTTTATGGAAGTCATGCAGCCAGCATAGTCACTGGGTGTAGTCTTTCAAATGCAGAAGGTTTCAGAGACAAATATTTACCTCTACCTGTAACTGGTACTAGAATAGTCAATACTTAGAAGCCTTCTTCTTTGAAAGGGATTATCATCTGACTGAGTTCTCGCTGCAACTGTACCTTTGTATTATGAGATGTGGCTCAGGGTACTCACAGTTTTCTTTCCCTTTATAGCAGGTGTTTGTTCGGGGCTGAAGGTGACCGTGCCTTCACACACTGTCCATGGCATCAGGGGACAGGCCCTCTACCTCCCCGTGCACTATGGCTTCCACACTCCAGCATCTGGCATCCAGATCATATGGCTGTTTGAAAGATCCCACACGATGCCCAAATACTTGCTGGGCTCTGTGAATGAGTCTGTGGTTCCTGACTTGGAATACCAGCACAAGTTCACCATGATGCCACCCAATGCCTCTCTCCTCATCAATCCGCTGCAGTTCACCGATGAGGGCAATTACATTGTGAAGGTCAACATCCAGGGAAATGGAACCCTGTCCTCAAGTCAGAAGATACAAGTCACTGTTGATGGTGAGTCCTCTGTGGTAGTAGATTGGAGGCTAGGTCGAGTCAGCAGAGGCTCAGGATACCAAACTTGCTGGGATTTAAGGTCCTGGCTCTACCCACACTGAGTGAATTAATTAATGTTCAAATTTCCCTAATACAATCTCCTACCTCATAAGGCTTCCTGAGATTTAGTTATATATGTATAAAAGGGAGGTGCCCAATGCCCAGCAACAGATTTCAAGCAATAAATGAAACTTACTGTTTTCTTAGGACTTATATAAAGCTGCTGGAAGAGTGAGGTATGAACACTTTATTTTCTCATTTGTAGACTATATCCTGGGAAGGCCCCTGTTTTTAATCACATGAAGATTTTTATTTGGTGCAACATTAAAGATGAGTCAAAGGCTTTATGTAAGGACAATAGAAGTTGGGGGAAATGTTCTCTGAGGGAGACTGGAGTTAGCTAACCATCAGGCGTTTGTTTTTAATTGTTAAAATTTATAAGTGGCATGCATACCTTGAACATACTATGTACAAAATTCAACTTATTTTTCTGTCTTCTCTTTTTTTGACAATGTATCTCATTTTAGTAAGCATTAAATTGATTCTATTACTTCCTCAGGCCCAGGCTTTGCATACATCACTGACCATCCCATCTTCTCATAACATACACCCTGTCTGAAAGAAAAACTTATTGGCTAAGCTTAAAAATAGACTCCAGCTGCTTTCGCCTACCCTTTACCACTGCCTTGCTCACACCTCTAACTGTCTCCTAACTGCTATAATAGCTTGCTCTCCAGCCTCTGTACTTCTTCTCTTGCTGCCTCCTGTCACATAAAACACCTGTCATAGCTTCCTACTGCACTCAAAATGGGAGTCAAAGTACTAATAATAATCTTCAAAACCATCTGACCCCATCCTCTGCCTCTGACCACTATACTCTCTGTTCTGGCCACACTGGTCCCTTGCTTTTCCTTGAGCAGGACAAATACACTCACACCTCGGGTCCTTTGTTCTCACTCTTCACTCTATCCAGACAACTTTTACTCAATATCACATCCTTTATTTCTTTTAGGCATCATCTTAGTTGTCATATCTGTGAAGCCTTTTCTAACCACTCTCCACTCTGTATAAAAATACATCTTACTCATCTTAGTCTCTCTCTCTCTCTCTCTCTCTCTCTCTCTCTCTCTCTCTCTCTCTCTCTCTCTCTCTCTGTCACACACACACACACACACACACACACACACACACACACACACACACTGTTCATTCTCTTTAATTTTACTTTTCTCTTTGTTCATCAAACTTCCATCAAACTTACTATCACCTGTAAATAGTATGTGTATTTATTTTTTATTGTTTCACTTCCATGACTAGAATATGAAGTCTATGGAAAGAGGAGCCTTGTCTGTGTTCTTGCTGCTTTCTTCTCGGTGCTCAGAACCGCACTGGCCATAGCCGACTCGGCAGCCCCTGTGGAGTAAGGAGACAGGCAGAAGCAGAAGAGGCTCCAGGGGACTAAGACAATGGCTGGGGGACCAGACGTCTACAAAGCAATTGTGGGAAAGGGAAGAAATCCCTGACAGGAGCTTTCACAAAGTCCCCCTGCGCCAGTTCTCACACAGGTTTTAACAGGACAGCCCTTACCTGTGCATTGTAATGTTGGGTTTATTTAGTGAAATGGAACCAAAAACTGTAGTAAACAGGCTTTAAGAACCTAAGCCTGCTCAAAAGGAAAACTTCAGGTTTGTTCCAGGCAAGGGCATGATATGGATGACTATTCCATGTCACAGTTGCCTAGTTATCTCATACCACATATACCCCACACAGAGATATCTGGGGTGTGTTTAACTATAACCAGTGTACACAATTCATTTTTCTTTTTAAAACATAATAACATGCTCAAGATGATATTGCAAACCCTTTGCTCTTGCCAGGGAAGACAAAGGACTGAATTAAATGAACAAACCAGTAGACGACATCCACCTTGAAAAATGCCAGATGTTCCCAAGTTGTTCAGCTCCCTCCTAGTTTCTTCAACCTTGTTTTTCCTTATCTTTCATTTGTTTCTATTTGCCCTGGGCTGGAGAATTGGGTCTGTTTGGGCCCTCATGCAGTTTCCATTGTAAAAAACATGTAACAATAATATAAGAGAGATTTGCCTGAGGAAAAAAAGCATCAAACTCAACTGCAGGCTTGATGGGAAATCAACACCTGAAGTACTGGATCCAATCGCAGGTTGCCTAGGTGTTGCAACCTTGGCCTCTCTGTGTCCTGTGAGCTTACAGAGATAGAGACTATTAATATCTATCTTTCTAAAATGCAGGAACAATACATTGACAAGTGTAAAGGTCTCTTCTCTTTGCTGTTTAACTCTGAACAAGTAACTATTTTCTTATGTCTGTTCTGTTTATCTATGTGTGTGTGTATGTGTGTGTGTGTGTGTGTGTGTGTGTGTGTGTGTGTTCCTGAACATGCCTCAGAGCACATGTGGAGGTCAGAAGAAGCTTGCTGGAGTAGTTTCACTCCTTCCACCATGTAGGATCTGGAGATCAAACTCTGGCTTGACAGAAAGTGCCTTTACCACTGAGCCATCTCGCTGGCCCACAAATCACTATTTTATCAAACAGGGTAAAGAACTTTGAAGATTGATGAGGTTGCTGAAATGATAGTGAATGCATATGTGATTACCAATTCTATCCATATACTAGAGCTACAAGTCAGTGAAGAAATGTTTGTGTTCCTTTACGTTTGCCGACTGAGTGCCACATTCATAAACTAAAGCTAGTTTCTTATCGCTTCAACTTTCTAACAGGAATTTCTTTTACATTTCAAGTTTAATAAAATCTCAATACTATATCATGTCCTCCTGTCAAATTGATTCAGTGTTGACAAAAATGTAGACTTTAGCTTGTTAATGAAATTGCATATATGCCACTCTCCAAAAATTCCCCTACATGCTTTCAAACATATACCATATGTGAGCTGTATAATTTAATTTTCAGATGGTGAATAAAAATGTGAGGTTGCTACACCCCTTCTTGCCAGGTGCTTTTGGTACATTACAAGTCAGGAAAGGGAAATAACTGTATACATTTTGCCTGTGAGAGTGTACCTTTACAGCAGATAAGCATTTGCATGACCCCTTAAGTTCAGAGATGGTGAGGGGAGAGAAGCTTTGGTGGTAGAGAAAGCATGGTGAATAGGAAAGTGGAACTCTGGGCTTTCAACCATTAACTATATAAAAAGTAAACAGATTAATTGGCAATACTTGAATTCAAGTTCTAGAATTTGATTAGCTCTAACTGTATAAAGATATTTCATATTTTACCATTTTTAAATTTCTGTGACTGATTAATGTCCTCTTTAACTGTTATCCAAACTGTTTACATTTACAAAATATTAAAATGTTGGAATCATTTTCCCAGGACTCAATATTGGAAAGGCTTCTTAGAGTTGTACTCTAGCTCCATGGATGGAAAGTGATTATTTCTATGTCTCTTGATATTACAGATCCTGTCATGAAGCCAGTGGTTCAGTTCCATCCTCCTTCTGGGGCTGTGGAGTATGTGGGCAACATTACCTTGACCTGCCAGGTGGAAGGGGGTACCAGGCTAGTTTACCAGTGGCGAAAAAATGGGAAGCCTGTTTGCATCAACTCCAACCACTCATTTTCTCCCCAAAACAACACCCTTTGGATTGTTCCGGTGACGAAGGAGGACATTGGGAACTACAGCTGCCTTGTGTCAAATCCTGTCAGTGAGATGGAAAGTGACATCATTATGCCTACCATATATTGTAAGTAACTTCCTTTTTTTTTTCTTATGTCAATATTTATGGGAAGATCTCATAGGGATAGGTATAGATAATATCAGCACCAGATGTCATTTGGTCTTTACCAGTATTGTAGCTCAGTACTTGGTATAGTCAGGTCACCTAGGAATTGTCTGGCCCAGAAATAAATATATCTACTGACACAACTTTACCTTTTGAAGATCAAGTGAACCACTAATCTCAAGGCATTCAAAGTGAAATTTGTGATTCTAACCATTGAATGATCATGTGTAGTGGAATTCTCAGTCTCAAGAATCCAGTACCACAAAGAGATGCTGATTCATTCATCTCCCTTCAGAAAGAAGAGGAAATGATGGGCTCCTGGGGGTGTGGGATGTGCTCTGTGGACTGCACGGAAAAGGAGCACTCCTGGGTTACGTGTGGAAGAATGCCCTGAAGGACAAGGGTTCCATACACCTGTTTTCTCTCCAGCATTTCTACACTTGATCTTAGCCAAAGGCCAAGAAATGATTTTCCCATTTCTGAAAGAAGGGTTCAGGAAGGATCCTACTCAGAGCAATCTCAAGTGTTTTCCCAAGAATATTAGTAATTACTTCTGAATTTTCATTCTCTTCAGTTATTGTTTTCATTGTTGACATCGAATCTCACATACAAATAAAATGTGTCAAACTCTTCAGGTTGTATCATATCACCATCACAACCCCAAGCAATGTTCCTTCTTTTCCTTATTCTATTATTTTTCTAGTCACTACAGAGCCATAGCACTACCTCTAATAGGATTCCATTTTATTTATGTATTGTGTGTGTGTGTGTGTGTGTGTGTGTGTGTGTGTGTGTGTGTGTGTGTGTGTGTGTGTTGTGTGTTTAGGTGTGCACATGCCACAGCATGCCTGTGGAAGTCAGAGGACAATTTTCGAGAGTCAGTCCTCTCTCTCTTTCCACCGTGTAGGTCCTAGGAAAGGAAAATCAAATTGTCAGGCTTGAAAGAAATCAGCTTTACCCGCTGAGTCACCTTACCTACCCTCTAAGATGCTTCGTATTGTATGCAAAGTTTAACATAACACGGAGTTTGTCAACTTTTACAACAGTGGCATTGGGGGACTGGATAACTTTGCTGTGGGACTGTCCTGGACAATTTAGAGCATTCTGAAGCCTCTCTGTCCTCCATCAGTGCATGCATGCCAGCACTAACTAAAACCTATCTCTGAACGTTGCTGTATGACCTCTGTGGGTGGGGCAGTACCTCTTCAGTTGAAAGCCAACAGCCTACCGCTTTGGGAAGACTTAGTGTAAGATTGCAAAAGCAACTATGCAGCTAAGAAAAGTGAGATGTGGCATGAGGGTGCAGCTTTCATCTCCTAAGAGGAGAACTGAGCCTGGCACACATACCCGCACACTCATCAAATACATCTTCATAATAGCAGAAGAGACACACAACCCTGCACCTAGTGCTTATGAGTCAGACAACAGGAATGAGAAATGGAGTTGATAATGACCTACGTGACCTCAGTAAATCCTCTGGTCTTTCTGGGCCTCGTTTACAGAATGGAGACATTTGAAATTACCTCACTGTATTCCTGAGGTTAAATGAGATATTGTCCAAAAAAATAGACAATGAAGCATACAAACAAGCACTCACTAAAGAGAAGATGGTGCTATTATCAATGCATCTGTCTTCATCTGCTTCATATATGTGCATCTGTTTTCTCCACTAGAACACCGACAGAGTTCTCTCAAGGACATGTGTCAAAAAAAAACTTTAGAGAAAAGTAATAGCATGTGAATAAAATGTAGTCTTCTGCAACCAGATAATACTTAAAATAAAACTGAATACCAGCACTGAGACAGGGAAGGGAGCTGCTGGGACTGGTAGGAAGACAGAGGAGTGATAAAGATATACCCAGTGGCTTTGCTTGAAAACTGGCCATTCAACTGAAGGAAATAGAATTACTGAATCTTAAAACTGGACATTGATCCTATATTTTAGTAGAAGACAGAAGCTGTGTGTGATAAAATGTACGGAGTAAAATATCATGGCTATTTAGATATGTGTCATAAGAAGCATAGCAAACAGGAGTAAGAACTATGGAGTCATGGGCCAGGGTTCAATCCTGGGTTGGCAAGCTTATCTCTCTGAACATCGCTCTCTTCATTCATTTAATGATGATCTTGGAAACTTACTTCATGGAGTAATTGTGGGGACTGAACTGCTACTGTATGTAAAGTGATAGAACCCTTGACTGGCCCATAGTCAGTGCTGTAGAGTGGTCCGCCAGTGTTTCATTATAATGTTATCCCATGTGAATACAAAGACTGAAAACATTGCTTCCTACTAAAGAAAAGCCTCCTTTCATAGTGTGACATTTGAGTTCATGTGTAACAATGAATATGGCTGAGCAAGTGGAAAGGTCTGGAAAACCATCATATGCCCAGGCAGCAAGAGACCAGACACAAAGAGGAAGTAAACGTGTTTTTCAAGGACTGAGACAGATCATGGTTTGTTTTGTTTGTTTGCTCATCTGTTTTAGAGACAGCATATCATTCTACATTCCAGGGTGACCCGGGACTTGATGCGTAGGCTGGGCTTGAGTTTAGGGTAATCTCCAGTCAGCCTCCTGTGTACTGACATTGCAAGCATGAGCTATGATACCTGATTTGTATTTAATTAACCATGGCAAATTATTTTTATAGCTTAATTCATAGCTATATTTGAAAGGTTTTAAAAGGTTTTTCCAGATAGCCCTCTGAGAATGCTCTGTCTGTTTTTAAAGCAGAGGCAACAGCTGCACAGAGAAAGCCTAAGCTATAGCAGTGCTGCACGGCTAGCGGAGAATCGTAGGGACGGTTCAGAAACGGTGCAGCCAGTTTGTATCTGTATTTCTTTACTACGTAAGCTATTATGACATGAGTTAAAACTTTAATTCAAAGACAAGTAGCACAAAAATAAATATGTGAGCTATGTGAGCACTGGGAAAGGAGAATATGAACAGACAAACTGAATCAAAGTTTTATTACTAGTTTTTGTTTTGCTTTGTTTTCTTGGTTTCAGGTGACAAAGTTTAAATAGCACGCATGAGTGTTTGTCACTGATCTATAGAGGTGGCATCGAGGCGTTTGCAGTTTTCTCATTCCGTGTACACTGGGAATATTTTCCTTGTTTGATGCTATTCCCCAATGCTCCCTTTGTATGTAATTACTCCTCTTCCTTCATTATCTCCTACTGAAAGACCCATCTGTCCTGGCCTGTTCTCACCTCCTCAGTGTCACTAAGAAATTCAATTCTCTGTGCAAAGACAGCATCCTGCACACGTCTCTCTCTGGTCCTCACTACAGTACATCTTCCTTGACTCTTCTCCATTCATAAGTACCAGTACAACAAGCTCTCCTAGGAGTTCCACACGGCTTAAGCATCTTTAATTTTATAGGGCAATACTCGACACCATTAGGAGTTCAGGTAAACCTGGCTAAAATGGAATAGACTCTTTTGTTCATGTCATGCTTCAGATCCCACTTTTACTCCATGGCTCTGTGGTCAGACAAAGATCAGTAATCAAGTGACTGTCATAGTCTAATCGTCTCCCATAGATAGCCACATAATGATTTAGAATTCCATCATGAGTTATCTATTCTGTTTTCATTGTTTCCATGACATTTTCTTCTTGCAAAGCAGGAATTATGTTTTTGTGGCTAGAAAAGTTATAAAATCTATCAAGATTGATTATATGTTCCTTGGGTCATGATGTCATAATCTGGTGTTAGCCTTGGTGGAATACAATGACAAGTAAAAAGTCAGCAAATATCTACTTATGGCTTACAAAATGTAAATGCCTTCTAGCTCCAACTGTAAATAATAACCCAATAACCACTACATTTTGTGTGAAACACATGGCACTGCTGCGGGGAGTACTCTAAGTGATAAAAATTAAAGGGAAAAAAGGTCATTTACAGTAAATACTTACCATCTGCTCCCTCGCAGGGTGGCAAGCAGCATCATGATGGAAACTTAGGTACTGTTCCCACCCAGTCATAAATTGTTAAAGAGAACAGATGATATGTGATTTTACAAGTCATTTAGTAAACAGCCATCCCTAAGGCAAAGAGTTCATTTCTATTGAGAGTGTTCTGCCAAAGGCAAGACGGTGAACCATAATCCAAAGCCAAATGGAATCATCCATCTGCTTTTATCTGTATCAGAGGCCACTCTAGTTGAGCCGCTCTGAAGGTCTCCTACAGGGCTGCCAGGTCATTTGAATAATATGCTAATTCTCTATCAAAATAGAAGGATGTTCTGTCTGAAGTGCTGAAGTGCTAAGCAGTCTAGAGAAAATCACATCATAGTCTGGTCAGGGGAGAATAGAATGTAAACAGTTTGAGATGAAGTGGATGCCTGTGTGTGTTTGTGTGTTTAAGAGGAAGAAACACAGAGAAAGAAATGAACACAGACCCAAACACAGCCACAGAGAAAGGAGTGAGAAGAATAGGAGTAGCAGAAAAGAGGAGGTGGAAGAGAATAATGGGAAAGAGAGAGATGTAACTAGAGAAAGGGATGATTGTACAGATGTTGGGTCTTTAGGAAATTAAAGATAGCTTTTCATTGGTGTGATTCTCTATTGTGGTGATATTGTGTTCCCCAAAATATTGTGCATCCTAATAAACTTATCTGGATCAGAGGACAGAACAGCCACTAGCTAGACATAGAGGCCAGAAAATGGTGGCACACACACCTTTAATCATATCACTTGGGAGGCAGAGATCCATCTGGAACTCTGTGAGTTTAAAGTCACACTGGAAACAGCCAGGCATGGTGACTCACGCCTTTAATCCCAGGAAGTGATGGCAGGAAGAAGAAAGATATATAAGGTGTGAGGACCAGGAACTAGCCTGGTTAAACTTTTAGGCTTTTGAGCAACAGTTCAGCTGAGATTCATTCTGGATGAGGACTCAGAGGCTTCCAGTCTGAGGAAACAGGATCAGCTGAGTAATTGGCGAGGTGAGACTGTGGTTTGTTCTGTCTCTCTGATCTTTCAGCATTCACCCCAATACCTGGCTCCTGAGTTTGTTTTTATTAATAAGACCTTTTAAGATTCGTGCCACACTCTGTTTTATGATTTTTTGCAATAAACATGCATTTCCTTTTTATAATCAGATAAAATATACATTTTATAAAATTATATCAGAAGTAATGAATTCAAATGCCTCAAAGTATTAGTTTCTAGGAACTGGAAGAAATGCTTGGCAAGGAGGGCACATAGAGGGTTAAGAGATGTGAAGTTGATGCTGGGGAGCCAGATATGGCATATGTTAAGACAAAGAGAAAAGATGATGCCAACCGTGAAACCCAACAAATAAGGAAGTAGCAAAATCAACAGACGTGAGGAGAGAAGAAAGCTGCATAATAAGATTCTCTTCTTTCAAAGTATGTTTTATTTAAAACTAGTTATTTTATTAAATTATTGACCTTACTCATCTAACCATGGCTCTACATATGGACTTCCTCTAGAGAGTCAACCCACCCTCCAAGATTAGAGAAATGCTTTCTGTGGGAACACTCAAATATATTGCAAGATCTTAAGACAATTCCAAGGGGGAGTTCCTCCCAAGAAGAAGACCAGCACACTTTGAAAGGCACCACCATCATTCACATGTGTTTATGGGCATATTCTGTAAACCCTGAGAGGCAGTGGGAACACAGGGGTCCAAACAGAAAGACCTATTTTAATGATCACTCTTGTGTTCCTTCTCAAATCTGCATTGCTCTGCTCTACAACAGTTCTCAGATTTCAGATCGTGCACAGGAACATAGGTCTCCTGAGCTTCCAAACCACACACATTCCTTCCATTGCTTTTCTTCCATGTGAAGCAGTTAGTGGCCCCTGGCTACGCTGTCTTACATCTCATCGGTGCTGACAAGAGGAAGGAAGAGCCCCTGCTGCAGCATAGAGAAAAAGACATAGTCTAAGGAGCCATTTTTTTCAACATCCCAGTTCCTCCTGTGATGCCTAGAACAGTACTGTGCATAAGAACACCTTGATGTTGATTTTTTTCTGAATCAGTAAAAGCGGCTTTTCATTCCTGACATACTGCTCACTCCTCAGCCGAGCTCAGGATAAGAGGCTGAGTGTTCTTAGCCCCTTGTCACAGTGACTTGTCCCAAGACACAGCCTGGGAGAGGGCAGTGTGGTGAGCCCTAGGTCACTCACAGAAAGGGGCATCCAGGCTTCCTCATTATCATCATCTATCCCCATCCTCCAATTGCTTTCAATTTGAGGCAAGCCAGCACTCCACATCTATGTATTTTACATCATCAGATACAGCCAAAGTCAAATTGAAATACTGAAAAAATTGCACTGTGGGGGCCCAAATTACTTAGAGTCAGAGAATCTGAGCTTGCTTTACCCAGCAGGGCTGCCTAAGGAGATGATTTGGCCACAGATGTGTTTACCAGGTGTTTGGAAGGATCTACACTTGGCTGTATGATCTTGTGCTTTGATCTTGCAAGGGGGAGATCTTTAGCCTCTCCCTTTGGCATATTATAAAAAGTCCTTTTGAATAAACCTTTGGGTGGCTGGATATTGACCCAGGGCCTTCCTGAAGCTATCCTGTGTCTCTGTCTTTCTCCTCATCATCTAGGTCTATCTTTCTACCTAATATTTCTTCATTTCTCTCTCCTCCACGCAAGAATCCTTCAAAAGGTGGGAGCTAGACTCCCACATTGCACCTGTACTGAACATACACACATGGTTTTTGCACATCATCTCCTAGAGATGAAGCATAACAACTATTTGCAGAACATTTACATTGTATTCAGTGTCATAAGTAATCTAGGCATGTTTAAATTTTACAGGGGGATATATGTAAATAATATACAATTAGTATACTATCTTCTATATATGACTTCAGCATCTACCGATTTGTGTATCCAGAGTGGGTCCTGTAAACCAATATTTCAGGATGCTAAGGACTGACTAAGCTAGCTTCAGCTTTCTTTCTAATAATAGGTTTATTGGTATAACCATAGTAATATAATGCTGTGGGGACACTTCACATTTTCCTATCTCTTCAGAAAGAAGACATGCTATATAACTAAACATAATCTATAAAGTAGTGTTTCCAGTTTCTGTTATATCTTATGAAACTTGTCTTCACAATGATAGATGGGTCAAAAAATTATGGCACAGTGGAGAATCACTCTGAGGAATCTACAAACTTAATTAAGATCAGCTTGCCAATAGCCTCAAATGCTAGAGTGTAGCATAAAGTATTTTTTCATAATTTCAAAGGCATAAATAATTTTGGCAGTCAGTTTATCATATTTTTATATTAAAAGATGAAAAGATCCCAAAACTATAAATAACTTCTAAAGAACACTTAATTCATGATTGAGAAAAATGTTACCCTAAAATCTAGTCCTTTCATCCACACAATTATACATTTAGAGATAGTTATTTAAAAAAATGAAAATACTGAGCATTTTACCCAGTGTGTAAATTCCTTAGCAATGCAAATTGTTTATGTCTCTTGTGTACTAAATATATTATAATTTTTATAATTACATTATTTCCCCTTGTACTTTCCTACCTCCAACCTCTCCCATGTACCTCCTTGATCTCTCCTCAAATTCATGGCCCATTTTTTTAATGGTCACAAATATACACATATATTCCTAAATATATAATTACAAATTATTTTATACTTATTATCTCTCAAACATTTGTTTATTAAATGATTGTTTGACTAATTACGTAATTATATGAGGCAGTAATTTATCATAAAACAAATGGTTAATCAACAATCTTCTGACATAGAAAAATTATATAACATAAACCTTATTGCTTTAAGTGTCTTAATACTGCTATCTAACAGATATGTGACTATGGGAAATTACATTTAAGAACATTATAATGAGAATATTAGCATCTCTCATGAAGTTTTTTCAAAATAAAATGTAAGTTATATGTCTGATTACAGAGTCCCTTCCCATGGCCAGTGTCTAGTGAGTGTCAGTTAATGTAAAGTGAAAAGTGAGTGTAGCCATGTCCAAAATGACTTAGACTAGAGGAGAAACTTTGTATCTGGGAAGTATTTTTAATATTGTTCTTATTCTCTACAAGAAGCCATGTGGTGCGTGTCTTCATCTGGTCTGCTGCCTTAGGGATTGTCATAGGTGTGGAACTGTGTGGGAAAACATCAAATAGCCATGGTTAAATAGCTTTTTAATTTTTCAGTGACTATCTTTTAATGACACAGATGTGTCATTGAGTGTGTGTGTGTATGTGTGTGTGAGTGTTGTGTATGTAGTGTGTAAGTGTGTGTGTGTGTAGTGTGTGAGTGTGTGGTGTGTATGTGTGTGTGAGTGTTGTGTGAGTGTGGTGTGTGTGTGGAGTGTGTGAGTATGTGTGTGTATGTATGCATGTATGTGTGAGTGTTGTGTACATAGTGTGTGAGTGTGTGTAGTGTGTGTAGTGTGTTTGTGTGTATACGTGTGTGAGTGTGTGTAGTGTGTGAGTGTGTAGTGTATATGTGTGTATACGTGTGTGAGTGTTGTGTGAGTGTGGTATGTGTGTGTGTAGTGTGTGTGTGTGTGTGTGTGTGTGTGTGTGTGTGTGTGTATTCCAAATGGAATCTGAAGTTTAAAAGGATTTTTTAATATGTTAAAATCTTAAGAAAATCTGAAACACCTCTCTACCTATTTGCACAAATCTGTGTTCCTTCTGAAACTCTGTCTTCAATAAATATTTGCATATTTGCATGACCTGGCATTAAGAAGAAAAACAGACCCTTCTCAAAGTATGCTTGCCAATGAGAAAGTAGTATCTATTTGTTGTAAAAGTATTTTCAAGTGTAATTCCTATTCCGGAAAGACAGAGGTTGCCTAGCAACAGTGTGCATTTATCAATATGCCCCAATTTATCAATTAGCCCCACATTGATGATGGCAGTGTCTGTAAATCTGCAAGCTAAGTTTCAGGCTTTAACTATCACAAACATGTCCAATCAAGTACTTTGCATTTTTGCAAATATCAGAATAAAACAGAGAGAGATCTAATCGGGGGTTTAAATGAGGACGTATTTCTCAAGTCCACATGAAGACTTTAAAGAAAGTAAACTGACTCTAAGCTCTTCAAGCCCTGAAACTGTGCTGTGACTGTTTATATGACGCACACTCTCCATCTCTTTTTGCTTTAATACAGATGGACCTTACGGACTTCAAGTTAATTCTGACAAAGGGCTGAAAGTGGGAGAAGTGTTCACTGTTGACCTAGGAGAAGCCATCCTGTTTGATTGTTCCGCTGATTCTTATCCCCCCAACACCTACTCCTGGATCCGAAGGTCTGACAATACAACGTATGTCATTAAACATGGGCCTCGTTTAGAAGTTGCGTCTGAGAAAGTGGCCCAGAAGACCACTGACTACATGTGCTGTGCTTACAACAACGTAACCGGAAGGCGCGATGAAACTCATTTCACCGTCATCATCACTTCTGTAGGTAAGTGTGTGAAAGGTCAACCCTTTATAAAACACAAAAGCATGCCAGCCTTGATTTCCCAAATGCTTATGGAGAAGAGAACAAAATTTTGATGTTGTTTGAATGGTCCCTTTTCTCAATTCACTAAGCCATGAGGCTTGAAGAATGAAAACTCAAAACAAAATAGAGGGAAATACAAATCCAGCTTTTGGGGAGCTATGAAGAGTCGGTAAATTACTTCTAAGTGTGTGTTATTGCTTTGCTGATTTTACAAGCAGGAACATAAAAGGAACAGACTTCTCAGTTAAGAGTTTATGTATACTGTTAAGTCGGGTTAGAAGGGCAAATAAGAATGAGTTGGGGTCTTGGTTTTCCATTTTTTCCACTTGTTCCTTGGTCTTCATTGGTTCCTCATTTTTTCATCCTTGACATGCCTGAAATCAATAAAGTATTTACCAAGAGCCTCATCTGCTTGGAAACGACTTTCATAAGTCTAAAATTTTGACATCCTCTAGAAGTTACATCTTAGAAATGCCAGGGCCCAAAAGTCAAGAATGGCAACTTGTTAGGGACTTGTAGCAAACTCCTATCACAGAGCTTCTCTGTGGAGCATGGTTCTGTTCTCTGGCACAATTTCTTGTTCCATTTTACTCATTCCCATAATGTCTTGTAACACTAGCCACCGTACATCTTCATCTTCAAAGCTCTAAGGCTCTACTCTCATCTGCCTTCTAGATACCTCTTTCAGAGGTTCTAAAAGCAGAAGATAAATCTAAATTAGCAGAAGTGGACCATTCTCCTTCTTTCTCCATAATTATTCTTCCTGTACTGCCCCATTTTTAAAGTGAGTTTCCCTATAATCTACCAGCTTAGCAGAAAACAAAATGTCACCTCAAACTCCTCTTTCCTGTTACTTATGCCCTCAGTCACCAAGTTCTGTCTAGTCTACATTTCTAGCTCCCAAATCTACTTTCTTCTCTCCTTTCTTCTACTTTGTCTTCTTTTCTGTTGCCCTTCTTCCTTTCCCCCTTCACCCTTTCCTGTTTTTAATCTTCCATTATTATTTCCTCTATTATGTTCAGTATCCTTGCATACAGAAAAAAGACAAACCAGATTCAACTTAAGGAAACACCCACAGGTCTGAATAGGAAAAGATGATTTGGATGATTGCATTGGTGAAGGAACAAGTATACAAAACATAACAATCGTGAATTCACAGATGCCTTCTGTTCCACATCATTATCCCTGGTGCCCAAAATAAGACACATAACACAGAGAAGCTCAGTATATTGTGTTCAATAAAGGAAGCAAGAATAAATACCAATTTGCATAGGTATTTTTTTAATCCTTAGGCTAAGACATGCCATCTACAGCCATTTAGCTGCTTGCATGAAAATCACCTAGGCAGTAGTTCCTCAAGTGGCTGCAGCAGGAGGAATCCTCTGTCAGTTTCAAGGCCAGCATGGAGTACATAGCATGGTCTTGTCTCAAAATAAACAGATAAACAAACAAATTGTCTTTTAAGACACTCCAGACTGGCAGGGTTGACATTTGAACTCAAATAATACTTAATGCCAGTGTGGCAGCTACTTATTTAAGGTTTTATTTCCCTCCAGTGAATTTTAATTCATTAAGAAGATCTTAGAGAGTCACAAAGACTTATCAAAGTGTACAAAGACTACAGGTTGATGAAGAAGTGTGTGCTCTCTTAAAACTATTTGAGGTTTAAGATATTCATATTTGTAAAATCAAGTATATCACAACTCATATACTATCTTATGAACATCTTTATGAGGAAGACTCTACTGCCTAAAATATTGTTGTCCAGTAGAACTTTATGCAAGGAAGAAACTGTCAATATTATCACTTTCAACATGGCAGCCACTAACCTGGCTTAGTTTTTTGCAATTCAACCATGGTTATGCAACTGAGGATTAAAGTTTTAATTTTATTTCATCTTTGTTCATTTGAATTTGAATTATACATAACTACCTCGTTCTAGCACCTAGTATATTAGAGAATAAAGCTACAAATTCTTACCTAAATTGTGCCTCATTGGGGCAGTAAAAGGTAACATATTTTCTTTGTAGACCTTCCAAAGAATATGTGTTCAAAATGATTAAAATTAGCATGTATTCATCCATTATTTGGCACCTATTATGGGCCAATTAAGAGATAGGAACTGAGAATCAAGCAACCCCCAATAATAATCCCTGATCAAAATGTAATATGTCAAACATACAGACAACTAAAGAACATCTTTTGCCTTATAATTTACTATATTTTTATAGACTCAACCAGCTTTTCATCATGTAGCTAACTGAAACTCAGTTCAAAACAAGCTGTGAGTGAGTGAGTGAGTGAGTGTACCAAAGCATATATGGGATTGTTTGGTGGGATCTTGGTATCATGTTAGACTTGTTCTCTTTACTCACTGCAAGTGAAAAATACAGATATACTATGGAGTAGTATATTACAGTTGAGACTTACTTCCCCACTTCTTAAACTTTCTGCATTAATACTCAGCCAGGAAGTGTTCATAATATCAGAAGCCCCGTGTATTTGACTGAGATCTTATTACCAAAGACAGCTACAGTCTTCCTGTCAGGTAATTGTCTTTAGCAAAGTCTCAAAAACCTGTTTGACCTGAACACAGACTAGCATTTGTTATTGCAGTAAATAAGGAGAACAGGTGCTGATTTTCCAGAGTGATCCAGGATTGTCAACATTAGTGGCCTCATTGCGGTCTTCATAGCTGTTTCCCAGTCTTCAGTGTTCACAGAGCTTTGACTCCAACAACAGTAAAAAGAGGAAGAAAATCACTAGTGTGGATGTGATGTGTTCAATGTTTCTGTTTCAAAATGAATGGATTTCTGCAATACAGATTAAACACACACAAACTGACACACATGACCGTTGCTTACAAGGTCATCTGAACACGGATAGAAAATTCATTCTGATAAACAAGCTGTATTAAGACTTGTAGGGACTTGGAAATCATTTGTAAGGGTGAGATGTTTGCGTTTAAGATTTTCTAGAGTCAAGTTGAAGTTTTGTGTCTCCAGAGGCAACTTGCAGGAAATAGATGAATCTCTTTATTTTTAATGAGGCAAAACTATATAACTGCCTTGAAGTCTCGTCAATAAGATGTAGAGGAGAAAGTAAAAGGGGGTCAAAGATGACTCCAGGGTCACAGACATGGAAAGAAAACAGCCAGAACAGAAAATAATCAAAAGTTTTATTGGCGACTTTCAGTTAAGGAGAGGAAAGCTAGAGAATGTGACAATTAGCTCTCTGTCTTCGACTGTGTGAAGCTAAGCAGATGGGGACTTCCACTTCTGCGGGCTATGATTCACATCTAATTTGAGATATGATTAATTGACCTTTCTGTGACTCAGTGCAGATATCTAAAGAAAACAGAAGCAATTGGCAGAGTCACACCACAAATGCATGACAAAATAGCATCTGAATTCAAAGCCTTCCTTTTTAATGATCTTAAAAATTCTACTCTTTTTAGGTCATTAAGCTATTTGTGTGAATGTTGTCCTTTTAATCAATACATATAGGATCATGAGTATAAAGCAGTGTGTGTGTGTGTGTGTGTGTGTGTGTGTGTGTGTGTGTGTGTGTGTGACATTAGTGATTTACATTCAGTAAATACTTTAAAATGTGGATATCTATATTCAAGGTAGTTTTCTTTGAATAATCTTCTCAGCTAATTTAATGTATAAACATGCAAATACTTTGTCCACAAGATATACTCTTTCCTACTTATGAGAAACAGTGAAATATCTATAGCCAAAAGTAATGACTAGTTTTTACAAGGAAATAATAGGCATTAAAATAACAAATTAGCATTTATATTTGAAAGTAGTAATTTTCTACCTTAATTAAGGACTTCTTTGGATACAACTATCCATATTTTAAAGTATTAACTGAACCTAAATTACAACTGTGATATATATATATATATATATATATATATATGAATGTAGCCATCAACTTGGAATGTAAAGTTTTGTATTTAATGAAGATATTCAAGTGTATAATTACAATTCCCTGAGGACATGTGGAACATAGTTTAAGAAGTATCTTTAATACATGTGTTTTAGATTTATATGTAATGTAGATAAATCAGTCATTCCAAAATTATAATCCAAATCTTTTCATTAAAAAAGTAAGAAAGAACATGAGATAGAAAGAAAAAATGGTTAATTTCCCCTATTTAGCTACAAATTTCTCAACTTTGGGTCAGTTAAGATAAAGATTGAGATACAACCTTAACCTTGACTTCTGGATCCTGAGACCTTTGATGATAGCTGCTTGAGGACCTACCACAGAATATCTGTCAAGTGGGGCCATGAAGAGTGTGGAGGTAACACAGCCCAGAGTACGGCATCTTCATCTCCATAGGGACATGAGGCAGCTGCCATAATTAGTGAACAGATTGGATGGAAGAGTTCTCGGGGCTCCATTCTCATCTAGAAATAGACACACTGCCTATGTAGCATATGGCTGTCCTGTGTGGAGTGCAGCCTCAAGCAGCAGGGTAGCGATACCATGGATACCACACCTCTCACCTATATTTACACTTAACATGTTATTCCATTTTATTTGTTTGCCTAAGGAGGGGGCAAATATCATTTGCACTCTGGCTTTGGTAAATGAGTCCATCGTGTTTAACTAGTGGGAAGGATGGTATGCTACGTACAAATGAATAACATAAACTCTGAAAGGAGAGAAGGGAGCTCCTCTAAGTACTCAGACCCGCATTGCAGGTCCCGATATACTCCCCAAGCAATAAGACTAGAATTTCCCTCCTGTTCTATTTTCAAGGCAGAGTTCTAGAAGCTCATGTATCCAAAAGCACCCTTGTCTAAGGCTGAGACTGCAGCAACGGTGCCCTTTGATGTGTATTCTAGATGGAGAGACAGGGACAAGAGCAGAGACCTATGGCTCTTTAGATGAGGGAGCCAAGAAAGATCATTTGTTTTCAGAAAAGGGCCATTTGCTTCCTCCCTCTCTGTGGAGAGGATGCTGGCCTTCACTACAGCCAAGCTTTTGGATTGACAGGAATTGGTCACAACAAGGTGGGTCTCTGACTGCAGAAGAGTAGAAGCCAATGGGAGGCCATGAGAGGGCAATAAGGAAGAAGTCAAAGGAAACAAGGAGGAACGAGGAATTCGGGAAGGTTGTGACCCTCTATAGAAGAGAATCGACAAATTGAATTACTTGTCAAAGGAAGGAGAAGTTAAAAATGAAGGACAGGAATATGTGTCCTTTGTGTCTTAGGGTAAGACAGCCAATTATTTTGTATTAAACCTGTTGCCAGGTTTAAGAATCATAGAAGTACTTGGCAAAAGTGGATTGCCAGAGTGAATCAAGCATAGTCTGAAACAGTCATCATTGACATACTTTTATTTTAAGGAAAAATTTAAAAAGGGCCAAAAGTATACTAAAATGTTTTTTTGAATAATTAAATATATTAGCACTTAATTATGTTTAGAGGTTCTGAATTTTAATAGTGTGGCTGTTGTGAGGTGAAAAGGCTAAAACATTTGAAGTTTGGTGTTAAAACTTGGAACTTTCTGGGGCTGGAGAGATGACTTGGCTGTTAAGAATACTTGCTGCTCTTCCAGCAGACCCAAATTCAGATCAGAAAGTTCACAACTGCTTGCAACTCCAGCTCTAGGAAATATGATGGTCTTTACTGGCCTCCAGAGACCCTTGCACAGAAGTGGAATACACACACACACACACACATATACACACACATAATAATAATAATAATAATAATAATAATAATAATAATAAATCTTTTTTAATTGGAATTTTCTCAGAGTCTCATGACAAAAGAAGGAAGAAGCTAGGGCCTTGGTACTAGCCTAGGGGAAATATGTCTCCCAAAGGGAGAGTGATCCTTTCAACAGAATGCTTCGACACTGGTGAGTTAACCTATGGTGACATTCAACCATGATGTGACAAAATTAGACTTCAGATAAATGTGTGATTAAAATCCAGGTCAGCAGAGAAATCACTTGCCTCACTAACGAACAAGCAGGGTATTCATATAAACATTGGTGGAGAGTTAAAAGGATCACAGTGACCCCAAAATGGCACAGAATTTTCGTAATAGGAACTATCCTTGTCTCAGCCTTAAAGAGGTTATGAGACCAGCAGTGCATGGTCAAGTCAGAGGGGATAGCATGGTTTCTGCAACCTGTCCGCTAGAATCTGGAATTTACCAGCTATGCTACAGTTGAAAAAGATGGGACATTTTTAAATGATAGTATTCTACAGGGGAAAATCAAGAGAATTTTAGATAGCCCCATATTGGGAACAGGAGAGGATTAAGGGCTCCCCCTCACTTTAACTCCTGGAGTCCTCAACAGAACCTTTATGGGGGAAGAAGAAGAAGATGCTGGTTTGGCATTTATTGCAGACCTAAGTTGCCACTATATTCCTCATGACACCCAGATTCCCAGGCTGTGTCCGCAATGGAGGTGGCATTACATAAATTCAGTCCCCGTCAGTCTGGGCAGACAGGCAACTGCCACCAATCATTCCCACATCAATATCAGAGCTGCTTGTTAAAGGTCACAAACTACTTCCTCCTACACAGGTTAATAAATGACTAGACATATCATAGCCCACAGCTGATATTAAGGTAACCTCAGTCAATACGTTGTGTCAAACAGCATTGGAAAGAGGCAGAATGCAAAAAGCCTGGGATTATCCCCACCATTATAACCTAGGTGACTTTTGCAAGGCTCAGCTTCCTCATCCAGAAGAGATGATAATAGAATTGCTCTCTAATAACATTACCAAGGTGATTCAGCAGTGACTATGGATCATGCATTCTGAGCACAGAGCTCGGTTTGCTGCAAGCATTCAGCATGTGTATTACAGCTATTAGCACCATGCTTAATACAGTTCTAGTAATAAAAGGAATGGCCTACAAAACAAAGTGACTTTTAGTTGCAAGATGGAATTTTACATTTTAAATTTTATTGTATTGGTGTATGTGTGATGTGTGATGTGTGATGTGTGATGTGTGATGTGTGTGTGTGTGTGTGTGTGTGTGTGTGTGTGTGTGTGTGTGTGTGTGTGTGTGGCACTGCACATGTTCCACAGTGCTCATGTGGAGGTCGATTTTCAGGAGACAGGTTTCTCCTTCCACAGTGGGTTGCAGTATTAATCTCAGGTAGGTCTTCAAGTTTGTACTGAGTACTTTTACCAGCTGAGCCAAGCCATCTGGCAGGCCTGACTTTAAATATTTTATTGAAACTTGCACGCACATGTTATTTGGGAAACTGGCATTTCTTAATTGGTTAAAATTGGTAAAGTATATTTGAAATAGGCACCCTTCTTCTCACATCCTTAAATATGTACCACTGTGTCCCTGGAAAGATCACGCCCCTGAATCATTAAAACAGCAAGACTGAATTCAGGGAGAGCATCCTGCATCCGAGGGTGGAGAGACAGTGAGCTGGGACGGACACGGCAAACACAAATGAGAAGTGTGACAGGAACAGCTGTCTGTGACTAGGATGTTACGTCAGTATTTCCTGGGTTTCTTGCCACATCTCCGAGCACAAATGTCCCCAGGGAGTTTGGAGATTATGTTTTAAATCACTGTGTCCCATCCATGTGGGGATGAAGGAGAGACTAAGGGGAGAGAGAGAGAGAGAGAGAGAGAGAGAGAGAGAGAGAGAGAGAGAGAAAGAGAGAGAGAGAAGCAGGCAATGGAGTCTTACTTAAGTAGAGAACAGTCCTAAGCATTTCAGATTATATAGTAATTTATTACTATTTTTTAGGGCTGGAGAAGCTTGCACAAAAAGGAAAATCACTGTCCCCATTAGCAAGTATAACTGGAATATCGCTGTTTTTGATTATATCCATGTGTCTTCTTTTTCTGTGGAAAAAATATCAACCCTACAAAGGTAGGTTAAAATTAGAAAAAAATAGCAATACATTTTCGAAACATTCCAAAAATATACCTTACTGTGTTTCGCCCTCTCTTTTGCTTTTAGCTATAAGGCAGAAGCTAGAAGGCAGGTAATGTATATGTTTCTGTGAAAATAACTTCAAATTTTCCCCTCAATTATAACCCCTGATTAATACATCTACTTATCTTTTCAGACCAGAGTCGGAATACAGAAAAGCTCAAACCTTTTCAGGTAATGGCCAGGCTGGAAAGGAGTGTTATCCACAGCAATGTATGTTAACTAATCATCGGTGTTTATTGGGGATATTTACAGCTATGTAAATGACTGTAGTAGAATTCATAGAAGGTGATGTTAGCACAGCCACAGTCCCTACATTGTTCAGTGTCTCCCCTTTACAAAGTGCTGCCTCTGGAGTGGTTTTCTGTGAGCCAAACAGGTCTGTAGGATAAGCTCAGGAGGGACTCTCAACTCTAAACACAGACAGGGCAACGGAAGACCAGAGAAATGAAGATGAGTTCTGCTCCATTCTCTCTCCTTAGCCCTCTCATCATTAGTCTGTAAGAGCAGAGGGAGCCTTTTGTAGTTTCTGGAGGATGCACAACTCTGGCAGCCCATCCTAAGGAGAGGAAGAACCGGAGGTGTGATCAGGGGCAGGGATGCTCCTTTGTCCCCAGCCAACCCTCACCACCTCCATGGTTGGCTCCGTCCTGAGTTGTTCGGAGTCAACAGTGGAGCTTAGGCTCAGATGGCGGTGTCATCAAGAGTCAGGTTTTGGTCCTCTATCTGCCACATTTCCCTTGGGAAAATTATTTTTCTTAACCTCAAATTCCTTATCTATATAACAGGAATAAAAACTTCCTCCTGGAGCTGCTATGAGAATTAAAATAAAATGATGTGAAGAGCCTAATGTGACTCTTTAAAAAAAAAAAAAGAAAGAAAGAAAGAAAGAAAAGAAACTGGCTCTTCCTCTTATCTAGTCCTCTCTCTCTTACTACAGTAACTGGGTGTCACAGAGGGGAAGGGTCCCGAGACCGACCTTCTGGCTCCTCCCAGACACCTCCACCCTCTTCTTTTCCCAGATAAAGTTTGGGTAGTGTCCCCATTGTGCTGCAGCGGCTTTTGGGTGTCTGTGTAGCTTCTGGCCTTACTCACTCTTTTCTAACGTCCCCTGTTAGATCTGTCGCAGCACAGTAGATATCATGGGTGGATCAAGGGTTGCTATGACCTCCAGGCTAAGTCCTCAGTGTTCTTGAATCCCTGATCCTGTCCGTATATTTAAGAATGGAATACAAAAATCCGCATCAGACCTTAAGAATAATCGGTCAGCTTCAGTTTCTTTTTTCCTCTTGAGAACTTGTTCCCCAAACCATTCAATGCCAGTAGGCCCATATGGCACTAGGGAGTATTAAATGGTTTCATGCAAATGTCATTTGAAGCAGACAATGAAGATAAGTTCTGCGACTATTCCTAAGAAATGAAAATAAAGGCATGAATGTTTAAATATCAAAGGAGAGCATTGCATCTCTAAGTCTGTCATTTTTCCTTTCAGGCCATGAAGATGCTCTGGGCGACTTCGGGATATACGAATTTGTGGCTTTTCCAGATGCGTCTGGTATTTCCAGGGTTGGTTTTCCTAGTGGCTGATTAACCGAGAAGTAGAATTCTGCTTCCCCAGAGGTGTAAGCAGCATTCGTTGAAGGAGGAGGGCAGTAATGTCCAGTGGCTTCGCTGGGCCTCACTGCATTCCACAGTGTGGCCTCACTGCGTACTGAGATTTGTGGAGCTAAGGCATTTTTCTCACTTTTCTTCTTTTATTGAGACAATAAAAGTGACACAAATAAGGAGGTTACACTATTTAATAAACACTCTTTACCTGATATAGTCTATGAATAAAGAAGTAACTAGGTTGACTAGAGAGAGAAAAGAAGAACAGGGGACCAGGAGTCCTTGGCTTAAATTATTTCATGCTGTTTCAGTGACCTCAGCCCTTCACTCTCCAGAACTTACTCTATTCCTCAGTTTCCTTCCTTTCTGCCTCCTAACTCTCAATAACTTTCCAAAGTTATTCAATCACATCCTTGCTTGTCATAAGGACATTGTCGTAGAGTAAAAACCTAATAATAGATGGGTATATATCTTTATTATTACCCAAAAGGAGCACTCATTTTTAAAGGTAGGGGCTTTTACAGTTGAAATCATTTGTTTTCAGTCAGTCTCTTTTTTAAAAAAATTGTAAATAATCAGTTTCATGTAGAATGTGTCCCTGAATTATTAGCTCATGAGCACTCATAGATTTGTAAAGGACAGGTTTTTCCTCTGTCTCCTTATTCCCCTATAATAGTCCACTTGGGTGGAACCAAAAATGAATTGCTTGCTTCTGGGTGTTCTTCCTTCCATTTTTTAGAAAAGACCTATTTGCTATTAGGAAATGGCCCCTTTGTTCTAAGCATTCTATCACCCTGTGTGCTTCATCCGGTGAGTTTCCTGGCCACAGACTTTCTTTCAGAAATGTCCTGTGAGTAATGGAGAGGAGTTGATTGGATTTCCTCCTCCCCGAGGGTGAGTCACCCACACTGTCACAGATGAAGAGGAGACACATCTGACAAAGACTTTGCAGTGCCCTATTCAACCTTAGACAGGAGTGTTTCCCTCTTCACATCTACAACCAAAAAGACGAAATAAATACTTTGTTGATCTGTTAACTAAAGACCTTACCCAGTGCCAGAAAGCCCCCTTCTAAGGTGTAGCTTCAGAGAGTAGAGCAGTGGGATGAAGAGCTAAAAGGGCACACTGAGTTTTGAAACGAGTATCTTTATTCAAAAATGCACACATTTTATTCCAAGTACTTCATTATAAAGGAGTGAGAGTTATGTAAGAAATTTACATTTAGCCTGGTGATTAATCAGTACACAGACTGGGGTACTATTTGAAGCCCCCGCTGCCTCCAAGTACCTTAGTGTTCAGGAACTTGAAGCAGAGAAATGTGCCCCTGAGTTGCATCTCAGAGGCTTGGCTTAGTTCTGTAACCCATGGCATAACTTGATTTGCAGCCATACTCATATCGAATGAGAAACCTCCTGAGAATTTCGCTGACATTCTAAATTGACCATGTCATGTGCTTTGGGGATGAAGTGAGAAATCAAAGCGAACAGCTGGAGGGGGAAAAGAGGACAGTGGCATGGGGAGAAGGAGCTGAGTGAGAAGCCAGGATGGCATCTACCTGGGAAGATTGGTAGCCCAAGGCAATGAACATGAGAAGAAAACAATTAATAAAAGAAAAACATCTCAAACTTGTCAATAAGAAGGGAAATCAACGTAATTGCTAACTTATTTGGATCTTAAAAACCAAAACCACCTCTTTGGTTATTGCAGTACATGTAAGATGGATTGCTACTCTCTTCCCCCGTTGTGCCGTTCATTATCCACTTAGCACTTCTTCCAGGAGTTGGACAGAAGACAAATGCATAAAATTAACAACTGTGTTTTTATTCAACAGTTCTAATATTATATCATATATGTTAGCATACATCTACCATAGCCCCTGACCATCTTCATGTCAAGGAAAGTGAAATCAATCTCAATTGTAAATTCTATCAAAATCTCAACATAAAATGACCAGAGAAATCATGGCCTGTGGTCATAGGACTTCCCATGAGAACTTTAGGAAGAGGAATGAAAAGTTCCCCAAACCACATACAACGAAGGCGTCCCAGTATAGCGTGGCAGCTCAAATTGGAAAGTGAAAGTGTGCCTCAGTCTTGCCCAGGGTAAACACATCCTAGGGGTGCTGTGTAGATATGAAGATATGTAGAAGTGCGATTAAACTGGGGCGTGAGAGGGAAGGAAGACCGGACTGGCAGTAATCCAGAAGATAATGTTTACAGAAAGAAAGCAACTATAGAATATGAGGGATGGGAGGAAAACACGTGAAATGCAGGGTTCAACAAGGTATAGGATGATGTTGAGCAGATAAATACACTACATTCTTTCCATGTTCAGGCAAGCCTTTAGTTTTCAAAGCCGTTACCGTAACATTAAAACCAAAGTGTCACTCTGTCATTTTACTCACTTGCGATATGACGAGGACTTCTGGCTTCACATTATTCTTTCTGTTAAGCCACTCTTGCACGTGTGATTGGCAAAACGTGTCCAAAAGAACAATTAAGATATAATATAACGGTTACTTGTGCTCTCTGATTCTAAGCTGCCAAGCTGTTTTTTTTTTTAATCTCCCTTTTTGCTACTTTTCTCCCTATTATTTATTTTCTGTACAATGTTTCCAGCTTTCTTCTTAAATGATGAAAATGTGGTAGGATTGCCAAGCTATTCCTGGAATAAATCAACAACATAGTGTGAGTGCAGGGAACTGTAGCAAGGAGGCAGTCACATTCCAGAGGTGGTGAACGTTCATTCATCTGTTCTGTCGTCCTCAAGCTGTGGCATGTTTCCAGCTAATCTTGGGCTAAGTTTTTTTCTTTTAATGTGCTGTGTTTTCTAGATGCCAAGTAGGTCTGCCCCAGCCTCTGATGGTGTGACAGGGCAAGATTTTCATGGAACCATTTATGAAGTTATTCAGCACATCCCTGCCCAACAAGACAATCTGGAGTAAGTCTGAATCTGCATTGGTGGGTGAAATGGAGGATCTCAGAGGTCAGCTTCTGTTTTCCTGAAGGTTTTTTGGAAGCTCCCCCCCCCCGCCCCTGCCAAATACTAAAACAGGAAAGTGTAGCTTCAAAACATGTGAAATTCTTCAAGATACATCCTCATTTGAAAATAACTTTGAGAAATGGAACAGGCAAGTATAGAAATATCACCTAGAGTCATGCAGGTAGACAAGAGGCAGAGTTCTGCAATTGCCTGTCTGTTGCGTGTGTTTCGGCTGTTCAGTGTGTCTCCTCCGAGAAATCCACATCTGAATATGAAAGGCTCAGTCAGGCCAGGGCTCAAGCCATCTTACTTATCCTCATGGCTTTGCAGTGACCATCATCATTTTATAGCCACGATGCTCCGTCACTAAAGATGAGGCTGTCAAAAGGCTACCAGGGGAGAATGGTCCAGGCACATCTTTCCGTTCAAGGCTGACTATTTCTGGGTACATACAACTGATTCCTCTGAGGACAAAACCTGTGTTGAGACTAAAGGCAGCAAACCACTTACCCAGTTAAGCTCAAGGCTGTTACTAGAAGACCTGTCTCTTCTCTGACATGGAGGAGCTAAGCCCACAGTCTTTTGAAATAATGAAATCAACTTCTGTTAACGTGTGTGTAGCTGCCTGCAGGCCTAACTGCCACAAATCATCTTCCACCCTTTCTTTAGCTGTTATTTGTTGACTTTGAAAAGAACGTCAATAACCACACACAGGAACTTCCCCTCTGGCAAATGGAACAGTTCCAACGTCGTAATTCCTGTTCACTTCTGGGTGAATATTAAAAATAACAGCTAAGAGTACAGGGGTGCAGTGAGAATTTTCTGATAGAGAAAGAACCCACACACAGGGCCAATGCAGTTGTTTTAGAGTTAAATATGTGATGAGAAACTTCAGAGGGCCCCATCAGAGAAAATGCGTGTGAAGTCAGGTAGATGAAAAATAGCTTGATTGATAAGTATTAGCTGTGCTTAGTTAGGGGGTACAATATAATGTTTTGGCCCAAGGCATAATGATCAAATCAAGTTAATTAACATATCTATATCTAGCACTCCTGAGATCATGTCTACTTTCTAAGACTGAATCCAGTAAAAAATAAACATAAAACTTATCCCGGAGCTGGGGCATGGTTCAGTTTGTAAAGGGCTTGCTATGAAAGTCTGAGGGCCTGAGTTTGGATCCCAGAACCCACGTAGAAAGCCTGGTAGAGCAGCAAGCACTGGGAACCACAGAGCTCTAAACCAGAGACAGGAAAATCCCAGGAGTTTGTGGGCCAGGCAGTCTGGCCAATCATCAAGCTCCAGGTTCAGGGAGACCTTGTCTCAAATACTTATAAGTATTTATTTATAAGTAAATAAATAAATAAGTCAGAAAAGCAATTGAGAAAGACACTTGATGATGATCTTTCCCCTTGCATACACACACACACACACACACACACACACACACACACACACACACACTTGCACATGCACCCACCCAAATGTGCATGATAACACACAGGAACACATCACATTTATACATCACATACATACATACACACACACACACACACACACACACACACACACACACACACACAAATTTTTAAGATAATTTTAAAATCTCTCCAATTTAAATTTACTTGTTTTTCTACATACTCTGTGTTCTAAGTATCTACTTTTACTACTAGAATGCTAACAAACCAATGGAAACTCAAGATTTGTCTTTTAAGAAAGGCTCCTAACACTGAAATAAATGTAAAGTTGTGAATATAGCAGGTATAACTTCAGGATACAAAATAAAGTAGAAGAGTTAATTTTACGTCTCAAAAAACTAATAGTTTTAAAAATTGTTCTATGTAAACAGATGCCTGTCTGAAATGAGAAAATCCTCAAAAATCCTTAGTCCAATAAAAGTTTATTTCAGAAACAATTTCTGATGATTGAAAACAAAGTGAATACTTTCTCAAGCAAAGAACTATTTTAAATTGCCACTGAGGACTCCAGGCTTGAATAGGCAATCACCCCCAGAACATCAGGTCCTGTGCCACTCCAGTCCTAGTGCTCACCCTCCACACTGTGCCACCCAGACCCCCAACTCCACTCATGCATCCCCTCAGAGGTCCCCTGTCTTCTGAGATCTGTTCTTTTGTTTCTCAATATGTGCTCCAATGGCTTTCTCTTACCCTTGACATTTGAGTTTGCTCCTCCCTCTCTCTCTATTTCAGTAAGACTATCCCACTCCCATCTACAATTCCTTTTTAAAGGATGTGAACATGAACAGCATCTCTACTACACCAAGTAATAAATTATCCCTTTCAAGTTTTTCCTTCTAACTCATACAGTCAGGAAGCCAACATTTCAAAATTTTTATTTTTTTTTAACACAGACTCATGCTACCTATTCTAAATTAAAAAAAAATAGAATACTTTAAGGATTTTTCACCAAAAATTATTTTGTACCTATTTACATAAATCCACAACTATTACCAGAGTCTTTGGGCTGTCCCAATGAGAAGGATTAAAGAACACCCAGTCTTTTCAGGATTTCATAATTTTGTGGACTCCTTTTTGCTTAACAAAAGAGCTTTCATAAAGTAAATTCTTTCATAGTGTAAATGTTGCCTGCAGATGCAGAGATGGTTTTCTCTATGTATCAATTTCATTAATAATGAGCATATAAGGTGTTGGCTCTGTCCCATCCCTCTCTTCCAAAGTGAATGAGCTGGTTCTAGGGGAAGAATTCTAACTAACTGGTTTCTCTAACCTTTACTGAAAATCTTTTCTAAGGTAGGAAAGCTGGTTAAGTAATTTCATTCTTTGATCCTTAGACTGTTTTGGTTTGTTTGTTTGTTTGTTTGTTTGTTTGTTTTTTAGTACATGTTGACAAACTGGACTCCTGTTTAACAAATCAGTAAATTGATCTATTCATATGCTAGTACTCAGTTCAATAATTTGTTTATTGAACACAGAGTTGCATTTACTGAAATATTATTCATTGATACCATTAAATGATCTTGGCCCAGTATGTTTTAAACCCGTTTGGTTGTTAGTATCTTTTCAAAAATTTTTACTCAGTTTTTTACATAATATATTTTGATCATATTCTTTCCAACTCCTTCTAGATTCTCTCCACCTCCCTACACATTCAAATTCATGCTCGTGCTCTCTCTCTCTCTCTCTCTCTCTCTCTCTCTCTCTCTCTCTGAAAAAAAAAAACAACAGAAACAAAAAGATCAAATAAAAAGATAAAAAATCAGTAAGACAAAAAACAAACAAACAAAAAATCCAGAGTCTGCTTTGTGTTAGCCAACTACTCCCGGGCATGGGGCCTGCCCTGGAGTGTGGCACACCATTGGAGAAAACTGGTTTTCCCTTTCCAGCCAGCATCAATTGCAAAGAGCTTCTTGGTTAGAGGTGAGACTGTGTGTGCACTCCCCTTCTCGGTGCTACAGTTTCCCCTGGTTTGAACCTGTGCACGTTGACAGACCCTGTGAGTTCCCATGTGCGTCAGTCCTGTTGTGTCTGGAAGACGCTGTTTTCTTGGCATCATCCACCACCTCTGGCTCTTAGAATCTTTCTGTCCCCCCTCTGCTCAGTTCCCTGAGCCAAGAGAGGAGAGGTTTGATAAAGACATTCCATTTAGGGATGAGTACAGTGTCCAGTTGTGGGTGTCTTTGTTACTTACCATCTACTGCAAGAGAAAGCTTCTCTGATGGGGTTGAACAATGTGCTGTGTGTGGATATGATGATATATCGTTAGGATTCATTTGATTGCTATGTTCTTTTAGCAGAATAACAGTAGTAGGTTTCCCCAGGCCATCACCTATCTAGTATCAGACTCTGGGCTACTTTAGCAGTACCAGGTAAGGATTCTGTCTCACAGAGTGGGCCTTAAAACAAATCAAAATGTGGTTGGCTACTCCCATGGTCATTATTATCTTGAAAACTAGACATTTAGATAATTAAACCTTAAGTTCCAAAATTTAATTATCTACAAAACTGTTTTTTACCCTTTATACTGTTGATTGATATAGTTTTCTTAAATCAGCTCAAAACACTCATATTCTTCATCTTCACAGCTATGAAAAGGAATGAAAGTAGTTAAGGTTCTTTTACCCATAAATCTAGAAATCTACAGAACATTTAATACATTTCATGTATCTCTTCACCAGGTGAGATTCCATGGGCAAAATGGTATATTGGAGTGAAATAATGAAGAAACATTCTGAGAGAAAACATCAGGAATCTGTGAAGAAATAACGCCCCGGCAGCCTCAGTCACACTTGTAAATGCGGAGTAGAGGCGCCTAAGCCAGCTCACAGGCAGGTTTTCTGACACACAGGCAATGAATGGCTGTGTGACCGATGAACATGGTGGGACTATTCCTCTGTGGACGCTGCTTATCAGTTAGACCGAGAGGAAGAAGACAACGGAGCTCTGCAGCTGCTCTGTAGGTGAAGGCTTTCAAGCATTCCAGTTAGTGCTCACCTAGGCTCCACTCTCATGCACGCTGGCACTGCCCTGTGCCACCTACGAACTCAGAGACTTCACCTTTGTATATGTTCGTGATAAGCTTTGTTCTGTCACATGCTCGTTACTGTCATGATAGCAAAACACCTTCTTCTGTCCCAAACGGATTTCTTGCTATTTGTGTCACAAACAATTGAGGATGCTTAACACAAAAGTAAGTCTGTGTTGTCAATAAACTTTGTTATCAATGGTGTTTTTGAGAGGACTGGCAAAATGTTTAAGGAAATGGCTTGGTAAAGTCTCATTTTCATTTGTGTTCAAGGAAAGAATAAATTGAAACAGATTGTTCTGCTTTGCTGTTACATAGCCTTGATTCTTTAGATTGTAAGGTCTTATTTTAAAGTCAGATTGAAGAGTTAAGATTTTTTTATTCTTATTTTCCATTGTGCAAATAAAATGAACATTATGGAAAATTATTAAAAGTCAAAACCTATTCTCTCATGGTTGGCTACTTTATGCAGAAAAAGAACATTTTAATGTAATTTCTTTTTTAAAATATTTGAAGTGAACCACTATGCTTTTCCTGTCTTATATTTTCGTAAAGGCATATGGTAAAAGTAAAATCAGAACTGAATCTCACAGTTCCTCTCTGTCTTCCAGCTCTGCCACCTTTACAGATCTTTCTGATGAAAAAGTCAATCCTTGTTACCACAAATCCCTTCTTCTGTGCTTAGTAAAAACATGAACTATCCCATCTGATTAGAAAACGAATTCATGGTCACCATAAACATAGCCATACATCTGGGTATGCAGAACACTGGCCCTCACACAATTAAAATCCCTGTCTTACCTTCCAGAAACAACCTCTCAGAATTTCCCAACATTATTCATATGTGTAACATACTCCTTCAAGCCCCAGAAAAAGTTTCTAATAGTTCATATAAATGTGTAGATTACAAGGTCAAATGTAACTCAAAAACTAATGCTGTGGAGAGAACCAGATGAGAGATACGAGGGCAGGCAGAAGTGAGGTTGTAAGTGGTGTACTGAATTCCCCTTCTTGGGTGACTATTGCTTTATGCCACCAAGATCAAGCTACAAATGCAGGTGTGTCTCTCCTAATGGCCATCTCAGCTGCCTGTGCTTTCTTAAGTGCCACGGGCAGTTGTCCATATTGGCAATCAGCTAACTGCCTCAGCTCTACCCACCTCTCCCCCACCCCTTTCTCAGTCTCCTGCCCCCTTTTCCTGGGGGGCGGGGCGGGGGCCTTTATCTGCTGATACATCTCTCACTAGGAGGGCAGACTGTAAGCTCTGGGCATCGCTGACTTCCTCTTTCCAAACCCTAAACACTTTAATCCACAGAAAATCTTACACAGCCCTTTCTTGTAATGCATACACATGATTCCCAAATCAAATAGTTTTTTTTTTCAAGCATGCACCAAGAAAACATGTTTACTAGTCCTGAAGTTAGCTTTTTTTGTTCTTCTTTCGAGATTTTTCTCACCCAAACCAAAGGAAATACCAAATAATATTTTTTTCAAACTCACTTTCCAATCACTTGTAATTCCTCTCAGTTCTGTATCTCTCTCTCACACACAGACAGAATCCCTTAGCGCCTGGTTCCACTCAGAGCAGCAGCAAGGAACTGCTGGAGGGAGAAATAGGAAAAAACCTCGAATCCAATTAACTTTTGCCTTCATTGGTGTGGAACGCTGGACGATGACTCGCTGCTTTTTTAGTAAATGGGGATGAAAATCTCATAAATTAATCAAGGTTTCCAAGGGAAGTGATGAACCAAAACCCAGATGTTCACGTAATTAACAAATTAATCTTTAAAAAACAGCCTAAAATTCTCTTCTTATTACTAAACACAATCTTAGCTCTTGCTGGATTTTAGCTTATGTTACCACTGATCATTTGGAAAAGAATCCTGACCTCAGTGCTTATTATTTTCAAACAGCACAACCTATGGGTGGATTTCAAGCAACAATCAGAAACTTGTAACATACAGTTTTCCTTGGTTTTCTGTTTGTATTTCCATGTGAATAAGGAGTTTCAATTAAATTGGCGCAGTCTCAGAAAACAGGTCCACATGAGTCTTCATCCCGGGAGATTATATCCCTTCAAAAGTTATGTTACAATAATAAAATTTGAGTGACAACACAGTAAATACTGAGCAGATGGGTAGCTATTTTTACTGTGCTTTCTCCCAGTTTTTATTTATTTTCTGCTTCTACATTATTGTATATAATCATGTTTATTCATGTCATTCTTTTTATTCACCTATAGTTCACATTCACATTTGCATAAATATGTTTTAGTTTCATGAGACAATAAGAAAACAAAGGCAAAGACATAGGAATTAGCTGTGGGTTTAATTCTCTTACCCACTCTTCTTCTTACGTTATAAACACACTGTGTATTGTGACTATGAACTTAGCCTTGATTTCTTTTCTTTTAGCCCAGTGCTGGAAATAAAATCCAGACCTTGTACATGCGAGAGGAATGCTCTGCCACTCAACCATACCCTCAGTCCCTTAACCTTGACATCTGTAAGCACTTTCGCATACCTAATGTCCTCGCTCTTCATAGAGAACACGACAAACCTGTAGACTAAAACAAGTATGTTCACTTTACAGTGAGAGAAACTGAGACCGTGAGGCTTCAGTGATTCCCTAATGACGATGAGTGACAGAGCTGATCTTGTAACTAACTTTGCTGTCTGGCTCCAAGCCTGGGGCAACGGTCCTTTCCAAGACACCACGTGATTCTCTGGACGTGGCATCCAGAAACAGAGCACAAAGCAATGTATCTTCTGTCAGCCTTTTCTTGAGAACTGTATTAGCTTCGAATCCAATTGGGTTTCCGGAAAACAGTTTACTCACTTGTTTATTTGTTTATGTCTAAGAACTTTTACATTTCAATATGTTCCCAGGAAAGATGACAGCCCAAGGGCTTTCTCTTGACAGAGGGTAAACTGATAGATTGTTTTCATGCCTGAAAACATTCCCAGCAGACGCTCTCCTCACATCTAACATAAGCAATTGTCTCAGGAGCTAGGGCTTCAGTGACCCAACTGCAGGCCTGCCCTTCTGAGAGTCCCCTGTGGCCTCTTTCCTGACATACACATTTTAGAACCCACACAATAAGTACCTTTTGAACTTCACTGAGCTGAATTGCATGCCCTCTCCTCTGTATGTTTAATAAAAATGCCATCTGCAGGAGACAAATAAATTACCTTGTTTCCAATAACCAAGCTCCTTTGACTCCCAAGGTCACTTAATAACTTTGAGAGCTGTTTTTTCCTTACAGTTCACCAAGACCCTATTCAAGTTGTTTGTTCTTTAAGTGGAATTTTGAAAGTGTGATTGCACCTATATATGCTATTTTCATTACTTATAAAATAACGTTCATTATTTTGTAAGTTACAAATCGGTAGTCACCAGACATTTTATGGATAGTAAAACTGAGACTCAGATACCCTGGGCCTCAGTTTTGCTCTCAAAACATGCAGAAAATAAAAGGTCTCTGCCTAGTTTTAATTTATCCCACAGTAGACTGGGGTTGTGATTCACTGGTATAATGCCTGCTGGGTATGTGCAAAACCCTGCACCACACCAGCAGGAACAATAGTTTTTCCTCACAGGAAATCTTTCATGCAGATGGCTCCAACTGACCAGGTACTTTCTTATGCTCTCATTACACATCTATTGAGTCCTTGTCACCTTACTGTAGTTATGCCATGGGTCAATGATACAAAGAGTTCATTACAATGCTGTACTCTAAATATGGCTGCAGCAGTATGTGAGAACATCAAGGCAAGCAACCCAGGAAAAAAATTTCACAGCATATATGGTATCACAGTTAAAGAAGAGTTGATCAGCTTTAGAGCATGTGACATGAAGCACTATTTGTAATATACAATGAGAAAGCATGGCAGGCAGATGCAATGCAAGGAACATGTGGAGGGGTAATTTGGAAATTTATACAAGCACATAAATCTAGTACTTGGAAAATAAATTTAAACTCTATTATGCTGGTAATATTCTGTTAACTATCTTCAATGTGTCAAAAGACAGAGAAGGATCAACTTTGGTCCACTCTTTACCTTCTAAGAATTTATAATCGATCAGAGAAATAGGCAGGGTGTTTGATAGTAATACTAGGAGTGCATACATACAGCATGGCACACTAACTATGACGGAATACAGTAATAAATACTAGGAGTGCACACATACAGCATGGCACACTAACTATGACGGAATACAGTAATAAATACTAGGAGTGCATAACATACAACATGGCACACTAACTATGACGGAATACAGTTATAAATACTAGGAGTGCATACATACAACATGGCACACTAACTATGACGGAATACAGTAATAAATACTAGGAGTGCATACATACAACATGGCACACTAACTATGACGGAATACAGTAATAAATACTAGGAGTGCATACATACAACATGGCACACTAACTATGACGGAATACAGTAATAAATACTAGGAGTGCATACATACAACATGGCACACTAACTATGACGGAATACAGTAATAAATACTAGGAGTGCACACATACAGCATGGCACACTAACTATGACGGAATACAGTAATAAATACTAGGAGTGCATACATACAACATGGCACACTAACTATGACGGAATACAGTAATAAATACTAGGAGTGCATACATACAGCATGGCACACTAACTATGACGGAATACAGTAATAAATACTAGGAGTGCATACATACAGCATGGCACACTAACTATGACGGAATACAGTAATAAATACTAGGAGTGCATACATACAGCATGGCACACTAACTATGACGGAATACAGTAATAAATACTAGGAGTGCATACATACAGCATGGCACACTAACTATGACGGAATACAGTAATAAATACTAGGAGTGCATACATACAGCATGGCACACTAACTATGACGGAATACAGTAATAAATACTAGGAGTGCATACATACAGCATGGCACACTAACTATGACGGAATACAGTAATAAATACTAGGAGTGCATACATACAACATGGCACACTAACTATGACGGAATACAGTAATAAATACTAGGAGTGCATACATACAGCATGGCACACTAACTATGACGGAATACAGTAATAAATACTAGGAGTGCATACATACAGCATGGCACACTAACTATGACGGAATACAGTAATAAATACTAGGAGTGCATACATACAGCATGGCACACTAACTATGACGGAATACAGTAATAAATACTAGGAGTGCATACATACAACATGGCACACTAACTATGACGGAATACAGTAATAAATACTAGGAGTGCATACATACAACATGGCACACTAACTATGACGGAATACAGTAATAAATACTAGGAGTGCATACATACAACATGGCACACTAACTATGACGGAATACAGTAATAAATACTAGGAGTGCATACATACAGCATGGCACACTAACTATGACGGAATACAGTAATAAATACTAGGAGTGCATACATACAACATGGCACACTAACTATGACGGAATACAGTAATAAATACTAGGAGTGCATACATACAACATGGCACACTAACTATGACGGAATACAGTAATAAATACTAGGAGTGCATACATACAGCATGGCACACTAACTATGACGGAATACAGTAATAAATACTAGGAGTGCATACATACAGCATGGCACACTAACTATGACGGAATACAGTAATAAATACTAGGAGTGCATACATACAACATGGCACACTAACTATGACGGAATACAGTAATAAATACTAGGAGTGCATACATACAGCATGGCACACTAACTATGACGGAATACAGTAATAAATACTAGGAGTGCATACATACAGCATGGCACACTAACTATGACGGAATACAGTAATAAATACTAGGAGTGCATACATACAACATGGCACACTAACTATGACGGAATACAGTAATAAATACAAGGAGTGCATACATACAACATGGCACACTAACTATGATGGAATACAGTAATAAATACTAGGAGTGCATACATACAGCATGGCACACTAACTATGACGGAATACAGTAATAAATACTAGGAGTGCATACATACAACATGGCACACTAACTATGACGGAATACAGTAATAAATACTAGGAGTGCATACATACAACATGGCACACTAACTATGACGGAATACAG